AGGATCGGTATCAATAATACGGAAATCACGTACTTATGTGATAAAGTATGAAGTGAATACGTAATACTACAATGCGAACCTTAAATTTCGTTTATCCTAGTAGGTTAAATAAAACACAGTTGCTTATATAGACTGTTACAGGATTATTAAAACAAGCAGTGGCTTACAGTCCAAACTGTAATACATACGTATGAAAGAAGTTAGCTTGGTAATTTAGCTTACAGTCCGTAACACGACTGATAGTTGCTATCTTGACTTGGTGGTCGGTCTTGTATATCGCAGTGACCCAACGAGCTACAATGGCTTGAACGCTTGTTCCTCCGAGGTCTTACTCATGCCATAAAGGTCTGTCGAACAGTGGTAAGACAAAAAGCGGTTACCGTTGCAGTGTAAATTGCAACACTATAATGGAGGTCCGAGGGCGAATTCGGACTGCTGGGTGAGTGGGTTGTGACAGCAGCAAGATGTTTCCTGAAGATAACTACCAGTATCATGCTTATGCTTTCCCTACAGCAAGGGAGGATTAGAAAAGGTTGACGTTAAAAACAACCCGCTACTCTCGGCATAGGTGTGTTTTTTCTGTCTGGCTTTAGAACAAAGAAACCGCATACCAACAATCCTGAGAAAGACTGTATCTACATTGATATCATTCTTTCCTATCCACTTGTTCTTTGTATACTACTGTGAAATACGACAACTTCAACTGATGCACTTGTGTGCGAGGTTCTACGTTGGTTATGTCTGTCTGAATCCGTAAACTTCACCATAACTGTATAAATCTCTCGCATTCTGCTCAGCATTGTATATCATTTGTTTACGATCTCAATCACAATGATTTTTCATTGTTATAATTACTAGTACGAAATTTTGTTTTTGTTAACATCTTCTCTTCTTTTTTGCTTACTGACAACCAGATTTTTATGTTAATAAACTTACATACAATTTTTAGTATCAGGTGTGTGTTATAGTCTTGAAAGTTTTGTTTGCGGGAGGATAAAATGAGACATTGTTATTGTATAACAATTGTAACATGATAAAATGTTAAGATCATTATTAATTTATGCAGCCTACTTGAAACTATGAAATAACAAGATATTCGTTCCTCACAACACGGAAATAATTGCCATTAGTTACAAGTTAGTCTGATTTCTACAGAAAGGTTGTTAAACTGAGTAAGAATATGTGGATTTACTGTTATTCCTATCTAGGATGAATGTCTCATACATGTATTTACAATAGATAACTTGATGAGTTATGTTGTGAAGAAATTCATTCCCTATAAAAGAACCAATTAACGTCATTTGAATCCCATTTTAGTCTGTTTATTAGAAACGTTACACAGTGAAACAGTATCATTTATTACTAATCGAGGAAATCATGCTAGAAGTACGACTGAAGGGGTTGCCATAGGATCACCAATATCCCCTATCGTTACAGACATATTTATGGATAGTTCGGAACAGATGGCTCCTACTCCAAAATATGGCTTCATGATGTGGATGAAACATTTACAGTACTGAAATCAGAACACACCATTAGGTTCTTGACACATATAAATTCAGTGGCGAATGCAATCCAGTTCACCTGTGATGAAGGTGGTCTAGCAAAGTTGGATTGCATGATCAAACGAAAAAAAATACGGATGTTTAGAGACTAGCGTCTATAGGAAAACTTATTCGAATCGCTACTTAGACTTCAAATCATCTCAGTTAAAGCAGGTTTAGTTAAATGCCTAAATGATAGGGCAAAAGAATTTATTTGTAGGCCAAAAAATAGACAAGAAACTAGACGCATCAGGAATATCTCGCGTTTCAATAATTACCCACCTAAACTTATGAATAAATTCATAAAATACCGGAAGAAAAACATAACCAGTCGTAGTAGTAACTCAGGTGTTATTGATGATAATTCTATTACTAATAGTGATGAAAGTGACAGGGTTGAGAGAGAATTCAAGGCCTCTGCTGCGTTACCATGCACGGAAGGCATCTCAGAAGAATTCTCAATAAAGCTAGGATTAAAGTAGCGTTTAAACCAACAAACTAGCTTAGAAACAAGCTTTATTAGTTAAAAGATCCTATTGATACAATTAAGCAAAATAATCTGGTTTACCAAATCTATTGCAATGATTGCGGGGTCAAATATGTAGGTCAAAGTAGTCGACCAAGGTCAAGTAGAATAACAAAGCAAAAAAATCTTAGCTAAATCAAGATTAGTAGATGTCAGTAAGATATGAAATTAAGAAGAGACCTCAGCTAGAACTATGCACGCAGTTACATGCAACTATACAATAGGGCAGGGAAAGGGTTCATTATTAAAAACTTAGTTGGCGGGAGGAAGAGATTCGTGACCAAAATTTTCAATTTGAGGGTTCGTGGGGATTTATGATTTCAAGTTGGTATTCACCATGAACTGATATCAGTTGGAGGAACATTGTAAACCTGGGAGCACTGGACATCTGTTTCGTCCCATAGTATGGGACTACTGAGCAGTACGCATCCATGAACCCTCCTCGCCAGGGGTTGAATACAAGACTTTCATGTTCCGTGACCAGCACGTTACAACTGGGTTGGAATCCAATAGCCCATACTTCCAACTCCTGTCAGTTCATGATATAGTGTGACCATCATCTAATGTCATTGTTGAGCATTCGTCCTCATGTCCACCCATTTTCCCCCACCGGTTATGACTTTTCTTTGGAACTTCAGGAATCACTTCTCGAAGGCAGTCACTAGTGAGTACTAGATTCATTCAATTTGGCGGTTTGTGGCGACTTATTGATTTCAAGTTGGTAAATCTGGTGAGCGTGAGGACAAATACTCAACAATGATGCTGGATGATGGTTGCACTATGTGGACCCAGTGGCTAGCTCAATGGTAATGTAGTGGCCACGGAATTTGGACGTCCTGGGTTCGATCCCTGGAGGAGAGGGCGGGGTCATGGATGTGCACTGTTGAGGAGTCTCATACTAGGACAATACAGCTGTCCAGTGCTCCAAGGTTTCTAAAGTTTCTACAACTGATGTCAGTCCATGATGAATACCCACTTGAAACCGAATCTTTGTTGATCGAATCAATACTAAATACATGCGATACAAATGATTCTGCACTTGTTGCAGATACATGGAAAGTTTTACTACTCTTGTCATAAAGAAGGAAAGATTACAACTATATTAGGCAAGTCTCAAATTTGTGGAGTTATCTCGCTATGACTATGAACAGTAAAATATATCCGAAACGTTATCCGGTGAATGAAACTGTTGTTTCACTGTCACATTTAAAATAAACAGACTAAAATGGAATTACAATCTACGACAATGGTCAAGTTTTACTCCTATATTAATGACGTCATTTGATCTTGTGAAGCTGGAAATGCAAATATTCCTAGTGCCGCAGATTAATAGATATCATTCATGAATTACCACTGTCTTATATATTCACGTCTTCACTATTGTTATTAAATTCGACATCCAAATGAGTTTTACAACTTTCAAGTTGTTCAACATAAATATTCAAAATCATTAGAGTAGAATGTTGACATTATCACCTTCAAATCTTATCCTCAATAAAACTAGCAATATTGTCTTCCAGTATTGTTTTACGCTGCATATCAATTATCACAGTGGGAATATCAAAATGTTTGTCCTTGTATTTCACTTCTCTTTAAAAAAAAATTCATACGCCTGTGTGATAATTCGGTCAACCAATATGGTTTTAAATTTCATTGTACTAAGAATTTTGTTTCATTTGTTTTGTCAGTGGCCTCATTTATTCTCTACTCAAATTAATTGTTGTTTTATATAGTTGTAAAAAATACACAAGTTAGCCAAATGAATGCAATCACTTTGTTCACTTAAACTAACTAGTTGCCATTGCGATTATTCATCTTTCGAAGTATTACAAACCCTTTGAATAGATGAGGTATTGGAAACTTGGTAATATCGAATATGTCTAGTGAAGCGAAAATGCAATCTGCATAAAGTCTACAACAGTAATGAAGTTTTTACACTGAAAAGTAATTTTTTTTTAAAACTGAAAATATACACGCAACAATGTCATTTGTGAAAAGTTGGACCATAGGGATCTATTTATCTAATGGGCATTGGATCAGTACTGAGGTATGATTATAAGAAACAACTTATCAAAAATAGGAGTTTTATTTTCATCTTTTACAACAAAAAACATTAGCCCTTACCCTTATATATTAGAAAAGTCTATTAAGTAATTTGTCGTGCTTCTTTTTTTTAATGTTTAAAGGAAAAATGCATTCATGAAGCAGGAGAGTGATTTTCAATCGCGTACAAATAAGAAAACGACTTATTGTTACCTAGGTGGAAGCTTATATTATGGATTCATTTTACGTGGAACTCACTGATTGGACCCATCTCTCTTCTAGATAATAAGTATTCGCATTAGAACACAAAATGATCACTTAGTAATGTATTAGTTAATTTTGTGTTTGATATTTGGTGATGACTGAAAGTGAAATGAAAATTTGAGCCACGACGGGATTTGAACCAGCGACTACCAAGTTTTCAGCCCAGTGGTCTACTAACTACGAGACCTGACTGGTAATCAAATTTTCATCTCATTTCAATCACCAAAGGTTTAGCCCGACAACCATGTGAATTTGTGATACGTTACCACCGCTTGATCGTACTCACACTGGCTGGCTAGTCAAGACTTCTCATTCAAACCAAATCTAACTGACTTAGAGAGAGGGAGCATCAAACTGATTATCATTTTGACTATCTAAGTGAAATAGCCATGGTTTGCCAGACTAGTATTGATACTGGGTATGATTAATATTCACTTGCTAAGAATTGAGTTCCAATTCCTCGAGGGACATTATATAATAGGCTGACGTTTACATCAGCAAGCGAGGCCAATATGTTAATGAAGGTTAAGAATTAATTATATCTAAACATTTATCCACATGTTCTCGGAGAAAACACCAATCGTAATAAATAGCCTGATGTATTTAAAAACAATTCAGAGAGAGAGAGAGAGAAGTTGTATATATTTTACAAATCATTATACTCAATAAGAACATTAAACAGAATCATACAAGTGAATCAGGTTAATTATTCATCTTATGATTAGTAGATTATTTCTTTTATTAAGATTTTGAAAAAAATATGCACTGTGGTAGCAGTCAAAGTAAACAATTATTGTTATATTTGCGTCAGAGGTACAAACAGTAGGGCGATTAAGAAAAAGAAAAGGCGAACAGACAGAGAACACGAGAAACAATAAATTCCTTCACAAGGTGAATTAAAAAAGAAAGGAAAGACGAAAAAAAGTGGCCAGATTATTATTTTTAAGAAATAAGATAATGATTCCCACAGCCTTTATGAAATGGGCAGATTAGATCTGTGTATATTTTCCCAAGTTAAACAAGACATATCACAAAACAATGTAGAAAAAAAAGGGTAAAAATAATTACCATTCATTAAATTCCATTCAAAGGTGTTTTATTCTGATTCACATTGTGATGGTTATCGACATCATTTGAATTATTCATACTGTTACTATTACCACTACTGGCCTTATTACTAGTGTTGTTATTATGACTACTGCTATAACCTTTGTTAGTAGTATCGTTACCATTTCCTGGGCCTAATTGTGATGGAGCTAGAAATTCACCATATAATCGTAGTAGATGATGTAACGCCAATGCCATTTGATTACTTCCACCAGCGACAAGAACACAGTCAACAATATGGGGATACAATTCAATGACACTGGACCAGATGGAATCATCTACTGCGTTTTCATTGTTCATCAGTTTGTTTTACATATGTAGGGACAATCGAAGGTCATCCCGAGGTTTATTGGTGATAGTAATATGAGACAAGAAAAAGCATAAGACAAAGTGAATAACTTCGAAAATATATAGAGGTAATGAAATTTCAAAAAAAACATAAACAGATAATACTAACAGCTTTACTAGTAGTAAATGTCATCGCTATTTCATCGCGGTCAGTTAAACTTTACACATAAAATCTTCATACTGGATATGATTAATTCCTTTAAATCTATTGCAAGCAAAAGCTATTTCACTGATAAACTTAGTCGAAAAAAAAACTGTAATTCGTTGTAAAACACTGAAAATTTGTTGGTAACAATCATCATCATGATCAACATAGGACCGGGCAGTATTGCGTAATGGTCCAATTCGCCACACCTCATATCAGCACATCAAATAACAAAGTGATAAGATGAAAGATGAAGTAAAGAAACATCAGTCAAAAGGAGTAGAAAGTAGTAAAAGAGAAGAGGAGAGATGAGCTTAAGTACAGCGGTTAAGGTGAGCATAATGTGTATGTGTGTATACATCTGCGTCACTGACATCGGTTCTGAGCCATGTGATCACCTAAAGTCTCCAAACCCTCATTTCTCTTGTCCCGTGGACCTCAACCGACTAGTCTGCATCGCCCTACATGGCTCAAATTAACACTCAAGGACTATATGCATTGATGCCATGTTTTAGTGTGGTCGTCCCGAACCTTTTTCCAGATTAAACAACAACATTTTATTTGACGTAATGACTAAGTATATATGCAACCAGTCCAAAAACGACTACATACTGTATAAGGTTTCAACGTGAGTATTATCAAATACACATTAACCAAATGTATTACTGAACGGCTACGGAGATATGATAAAGAACTATAAATACAGAAGTGGATTCATCACTTGTGGGCAACCACTTGACAATAATTTACCGAAATTGCCTATCAGTAACAAGGAGCAGACAGAGAGACAAACAAAATCAACGTAGAAACTCGAGCATTAGTGCACTGGTTCCAGTTCCCATACTTCACACCAGTATATAAAGATTGATATCAAAGTAAACAAAGGTGTATGGGAGCGGAGGGAATTTAAAGTGAAGATTACAAAGCTACGCACGAATGAGATGACTCACAGGTCAATGCAAAAACCTAAACGTCCTGGGTTCGATCCCTGGCGAAGTGGGCGGGGTCATGGGTGCGCACTGCTGACGAGTCTCATGCTAGGGCGAAACAGCCGTCCAGTGCTCCCAGATCTCTAATGCTCCTTCAATTGATGTCAGTCCACGACGAACACCAACTGAAAAATCATTGACACCCCACAAACCCCCAAATGAAATGGGTATTTTCTGTTTGGTAAACTATATAACAAATTTCAATTGCTAAGTCACAACAGAATATCTTTTATGTGTTTTCAAATGATAGTATTCTTATATCATAGTAGGCTAGATTAAATGATATGTCTAAACTAGTGAACATTATATAGCAATTTGTTTAATTTTCTGGTCTCAATCGTTCCTAGATAATGGATAAGAAAATGGATGATACTCTGCTTATTCAGGTCGTTATGGATGACAATAGACTAGAAGATGACTTTACCAACGGTTTAGTAGACGAAACAATACAGACTATAGGATTTATATAGATTGGTAGAATATAAGATGTCACGCTGCTAAGTAATGCTATGAGCGATTAGAAAATTCACTGAAAACCCATAGAAGATATTTTACATGTTGCCAACAGTAGCTTCAATACAAAATTGTTTCAATTTAAAACATACTGGTTAACTGAATATCAATTTAAGGAATAAATATTACACTCACCATCCTGTTGCATTGTAATAGACTGAAGTGACGTCAGCATAGCTGTTAATGCTTTGAACACGTAGCTAACTTCTGATAAACGAGCCCTAAATACAAGGATAAGTAAGTAATGAAACAGAAAAAGAAAAGCGGTATTAGAGTAAGTGCAAACAATTTTGATAAAATTTGGCAATAAACGTTTCAGCTTTGTTTACTATATTTGTTTAAATAAATGATCTCCTGGTAGGTTTATGACTCTATGAGCTTGAACGTTTCTCGGGTGGAACATACGATGTACAACTAAGTATTATCATCTCGAATGTAGTACTCAAGTACATAGGTCACATTAGCCGACCAGGGTCAATTAGATTATCAGAATATAAGAATTTAGCTAAATATAGAATGACAGACCTGAATAAGATAAATAGTATGGAAAAGCACTCAGCTATTGCAATGAATGCATGTATTAACACACAATCACGCAAATGGGTGGGATAAAACCACTGTACGTAAGCACAATATAACTAGGTGGAAATAGATGGATTACTGAATCCTTGTTCATCGAATCAACACTCAACACATGTAATAGGAATGATGGAACACCTACAACAGAGATATGGAAAGCTTTACTACCAATAAAACCAAATAATATGAGGTGAAAGGACTATAAAAATCAGATGTCGATAGTGAGATTCAATTGATGTGATTATGAGCAATAACGTATGCTCGAAACGTCATCAAGTAAATAATACTGTATCAATGTATTATCCATCAAATAGAAAAATTCAATGAGGAATTACATCCTACCACAGTGCCCAAGTTTTACCCTTATACTAAAGTAAACGTTTTCTACACGCGAACCTAAATATACTTACTGTATGGTAATTTCAGATTGTCTCAGTAACCTTACACAGAAACAGTAATGCATGCGCAGGCAGTTGATACAATGCTAGATATGTTGAAGGGGAACGACAGTGTTATACACCAGCTAAAATTTAAACTCACCGAGGTAGTGGACACTTTCCAGTTAATCGTGAAGCTTGATAGAATTTTACCAATATCGAACGACATCTTTGAAGAATACTACGTACAGCTGTTTTGCTAACCATAAGGGAATACCTTGTATTTATTGAATTTATTTTATAGTTATTATTATCAACATTACCATTCTCCAATAGCGATGGTGTTGTTGATATAGTTGATGGCGATTTTACATCGGAAGGTGCTGAAAAGGCATGTGACAATAATTTTGCAAAGCAAAGACGAGCAAAATTTTCCCGAAAAGTCAGTTGTCTTAAACGATCTAAATCGATATCCCAACTGAGTGATTCATTCATAAGAGGATCCTGAGGTATTGGTGCTACTGGATTCACTTGTCTAACAGCACGACCCAAACCCTTGGATAATTTCACTTCAGTATTCGATTCATTGGTATTTCGGTTAGTGGAAGGAATCACTAGTTTGTTTTCAGAATGATCAAAGGAAGAATTACGTTGGTAGGATCCATTTAACTCGAAATCTTGACTAGTGCTACCACTTGGCTCATCGTCATTATTGGCTATGCCGACAGAGACAGCTGATTGAACAGAGCCCAGACTAAGTAAATTAATCAAACGGCTAATGAAGAATTCAGGTAACTGTGCAGGGTTGGACAGGAACAAATCACTGATTAAATCCACAAACTAGATATATTCATTGAGTTTTGGTATATAGAAAAGAAGAAAAGAGATTTGAATCACTTGTCGAAGTATCCAAGAAATTCGAAAAACAAACGTTATAATCAGTGAGATTGTTAAAATATTGAGAGAGGTGTAGTCATTTCACAGTAATTTGTTCATGATGAACTTTTCAATGAGAAAAGTTGAAACACATTTTCCTACTTCTCTTAGATGGTTTTCTCATGTGACGATAACCTCATTTAGGCAAATAGTAAAACATTATTGTTGTTGATTGTGTTATTCACATCGCTCATTGGGAGGCAGGTACATCCATCCAACGAGTCTCAAAGAGGACGTAACGCGAATCTTGGATTTTACTTCTAGCCACTATCCATCATCAGTACATTATTCAAACACAGGCCATGTCGAGGCATCCACGCATGAGTCTGTATATGCCAATGGAGACCGATCAATTCGGTTCACTCAAAGATGGGATAACTACAAACAACAACAATAAAACTATATCCGCCATACAAGAAATGGTTATCGTGACTCGGTGGTCTAGCGGATAACGCCCTGGTGTTTGAAGTGGTTGGTCCTGAGTTCAAGTTCTACGTTGAACAACATCGCTGACTTGAAGGCAAGTACCTTCAGCCGACGAGTCCCAAATAGTACGAAATACACATCCTGGATTCCACTGCTAGCTACAATCCATCACTAAAAAGTTGGACAGTCTGTGTACAATGCATAGCTTACAGTGTAAAAATAGTTTCCCCAATAGTGATTTATATTAGCGTGTGTAGTAGAATATATATGAAATAAAGTTGTTAAGGAATCAATGTTAACATGTTTATGTTGCTAGGATCAATAATGACTGAAGAAAAGTTTATGTACGCGGAGGGATCAAACTTAGTCATGAATATGGACATCTAACAGAAATACTAGTCATATATTAAAACAGAGAGGAACAACCTAAATCTGTTCTCCACAGATTATTATTATTATTTGTCTCTTGGATTCCTTTCCTTCCTTCCAAACCTTCTGCAATAGTGGTGTGAGCGCCATTGTCTCTGCGTCTGCTATGGTATCCCTCCCTAATTTAAGTGGAGTAAAGATGCAAACCTTTTGAAACATTGGTTGCCAGGTCGTTAGGTCGAGCCCACTCAAATATTACCTTAATCAGGTCATAATGCGCTAGTATAGTTTAGAAAACATGCTCAATATCATCATTTTCAAATATGGACATTTGAAACGAAGATTGCAAAACACGGAAGGTAGATCTCTTTTTTCTAATTGAAAAAAGTAAAATACAAGCCAGTTTTAGATAGAATGGGAAGTATCCTTAATCTAAATATTTTTACGATAACTGAGGAAACAGTTCACTTTTTTATTTCAAGAAACGTGGACATAATTTCGATGTCAGAAAAACAAAGTTAAATGAACCAAAATATTTTCTTATGCAAGTATAAATGTGATCATTATGATCAATTAGTTATCAGTTTGACTGAAATGATCGTGGTTTGGTAGGCTTGTACTGATACTAGATGATAGTTTTAAGATTAAATGAAAATCTGAGCCAGGACAAGATTCGAATTAGTGACCTCAAGGTTACCGACTCAGTGCTCTTCCGACTGAGCTACAAAACCTAATTGCAAACCAGATCACTTCAAGCAGAACCCCGGGTCAGTAACCTAGAGGCCATTTTTTCAATTCTTGCCGGGGTCCACATTTTCATTTCAGTTTCAACCATCACAGTATAAAAAAAGAGTTGGTAGGAAAAGATTTCTCTTCTGAGCTTACCTACTTTGAGTTTAAATTTTCTGTCATTCCTACTCTTTTAAAGTAGAACTGAATGGATCCATTTAGAATCTGATCTGGTGTAAGTTGTCATACTTGAAAATTAGAGAGAAAACATTTGTAGAAAGAAGTCGAAAACTGTGCCAGGCTCTGAAGAAACACGATCACTCAATGAAGACGACAAAACAGTACTGGAATCTTCAGATTTATAGTGACACAAACAGTGACTGTATCTAAGCTATTTCTCTCAGTCTCTGAGACGAGAGAATAATCCCACTTTAATTAAATGTGAGGGGCTTGTGGGGATTTAGAAATTTTCATTTTCTCCAGTTGGTATTCATCGTGGATTATCAGTTAGAGGGACATTGGAAACCTGGGAGCACTGGACGGCTATTTCGTCCTAGTGTGAGACTCTTCAGTAGTGCGCACCCATGACCCAGTGGTAAACTGATGGTCACGGAACCTCAAGGTTGGGGATTCGAGCCCTGGCGGGATCGTGGGTATGGATTGCTCGAGAGTCCCATACTAGAATGAAACAGCTGCTCACTACCCCTAGTTTTCCAATATTCCTTGCAAACGATGTCAGCCCACGATGAACATTAACTTGAAAAAATTCCACATATGATTTATTTATTGGCTATGTACATACACAGTGATGCAAATTTATTTTCTGGATAACATTTTAAGCATAATCTACTTGTTTTAACCAGATTAAGGTAGTTAAACAACTCCTGACATTTGAATTTTGTAATTCTGGAGCTTTGATTCAATTTTCGCTCCCAGTGACAAAATAATTCTCCATTTATTTGCATTATTATTATTATCAGTACATGTATTGGAGCATTAAATTGATGGACGAATATTTAATAATTTCTCTCTACATCTACTTATATTGGTCTCTTGGGACTGTGGACCTGTCTCATAATGAAATGTGATTCCCTGTTAATAAAGGATCGAAAAGTAGTTGAAATTCTCCATAGATTACCTTCCTTAGGGTAAAATTCCATGCAGAACAAGTTTTTTTCCAATTAAGTATCCCATCGACTCAGTGAGACAAGATAATCTCTCAAATTTTACATAATGAGTATATGATTGAGCACATAGATCACAGTAACCACTTTGTATCAGAGTACAGAAGCTTAGTTAAATTGAAAATGGTAAATCTTACTAAGTAACAGAAAATAATCTGTAAACCCAGTCTATATAATTACACAATCACAAGATATGGTGGGATAGAAATGCAGTACCAATAAACAAAAATAATGAGATGATTATAGGAATCTTCAAGTTAGTATTCATTGTAGACTGACACCAGCTGGAGGAACAATGGAAACCTGGAAGCACTGGACAGCTATTTCCTCCTACTATGGGACTCCTCAACAGTGTGCACCCTCGATCGCGCCAGGATCGAACCCCCGACCTTCAGGTTCCGTGACCATCACGTTACCATTGAGCCACTGGATCGGAACTCAATGGTCCATATTTCTCTGAACGATCGTTCTTTGGATTATACAGACAGAAAGGGATTTGTACCACTTAGGAACATTTTCAAAAATAACCAGTTTACTTACACTTTTGTCTGCGTTTCAGTAGACTTAACAATGGAATACACAGTAAAGAAGGAAAAGTTACTAATTTTAGGAATTATTATCATACCACTGGTTACATGATCAGTCAGTCATTCAACTGAAAATCACGTTTCGGAGATACATTATACAACTCAGAAAATGATCTAGTAGTCATACTACTGGCAGCTTATTGGTCTAAAAAGTGTCAACAATGTTGTTACAAGATGATTAGTACTCATTACTTCTCTCTTATTTTATCCTCATTCACAAATTATGTTTCATGCTTATGTATAAAATTCGTAAACATATCAGGTACACTCTGGACTTCTTAAACAGATGAAGATACTATAGGAGTTTAAAATGTTCATTATTCAACTTCTCCCTTTTGATAAGAATACTAAAAAGCTCTATCATCATCACATAAGAATACCTAATTGTAATCCATTACTGGAGAGACTAAAAGAAATTTCAATCAAAACAAACAATATTGATTACTTAGTGCTGTTTTAAATATTTAGGGTTAAAAAAACTTTGAGTAATTTAGTATCCAATAAAGGTTACACATTAATATAGAAATAAAACTTAGGCACTATGATAGATTATACTTCCAGTTGTCTGTTTATTGTCCATATTCATAACATGGATTGAATAAGGACAATAAATCATGTCCGAAACGTTGCCCAGTAAATGATACTGTGTCACACTTCGAATAAACAGGCTAAAATGGAAAGGTTACACAGTTTTCAAAAAATTCCAAGCCAATTAAAACACTGACTAGGGCGGTACCTTTATTGTTGTTACGATACTTGTAATTTCCCGTCGTTATACAGGGACGAACTGATCGACTTCTGTTGGGTTCCTATGGGGATGCCTTGATATTGCTGAATATTCATGACGTTATATTAATCTTGGTGACCAGTAGAGGAATCCTAGTTGGAACTAGTCAAACGGATGTACCTGCACTCCAGTGAGTGATGTTGTTCCCACTGAGACTCGAACCCAAACAGGAAATAACATGCGCCCTGGATTTCTCTGTAAGTCACCAATATTAATATGGCGGTAACTTTAGTTAAAAACCACAATTTCTAATACTCGATCTCTTTTTGTAATATAATTAAGGCACTCAACTGAAACAATGTACACCATTCAACTTCTTAAATATACTAAACACTACTACTAGGCTTTATACTTTGTTCAAGCTGCCCATGAATCAAAAGAATTAACTCTAGTATTTAGTTTACGAAAGGATATAACGTCATCTATAAAACATTATTACCGTGCTTCTTTTCATTATTGTCAAAAATATGGGAATATAATCAAGTAAAACACTCAAATGAATACAAGTTAACTTACTTTACAGTCTAATTCTTCATGAAGCTGGAACTCTTCAATCGATAAAGATGAAGGCGGTTGACTAGAAACACAGTTGTAAATAGAAATAAAAAAAGAATGTATAATGTGTAAGTATCATAATGGTCACAATATTAAAGTCAATTTAGTATAAAGACAGTTATTCCTGAAGTAGTATCATTTGCAGCGATGCTTACAACAGGCAAGAGAAGGAAAATTTTAACCCACTTATGATAGAATGATTTGAGAGGTTTCACTTAGTACACTTACCGATGACCAACACTAGTTGTATTTAAAGGCGGTATTCAATTCTGTCAACCGAGAGGTTTTATGATAATGTCTCTAATTGAAAAGGGGTATCGCGTAAGTACACCATTTTGTTGACGGTTCTTTGTTCAAACACCGAAGGTGTTAGAGCCAACCGTGAGTTATCAAGTGACTTGCATACATCATGACACAGTTGCATGAAGTTTTTGACTGTTGGTCTGAGTTGTATAGAGTAGGATAGACTTCTCAGTTAGGGTCTGAGTGACAACAGAAACCAGTGGTTGAAAATTCAAAATTGATGTCAGTGGCGCAGATGTATCCAAACACATTTCCCTGACCTTAATCATCATACTGAGTTCTCTATTTCCTAATTCATCTTTGCTACCTTTTAATGATTTCCTACAAAGTTTGAATGCTTTTTTGTTTATTCTATTTTTTATCTCGATGGATTCTCGCTTGATATGCTGATATGAGTTGTGGCAAGTTGAAGTGTTACCCAGTAATGCCAAGTCCTATGTTGATTTCGTCGGTTTGTTTAGTATCCAGGTTACATACAATGAAAACCCTCACTCATCTTAACACAAATGAAACGATAGTGTGTTATGTACTATATTACTTGAAGTATTTTAAAAAATTCAAATCAGACTAAACCCCGTACATGTTGGCCGTATGGTAACGTGGTCACCATGAGACCTAACAGCGCTGGACTTAGTCCCCAGTAGGATGATAAGTATGTACTGCTAAAGAATCCAATACTAGGACAAAATAGTTGTCTAGTGCTGCCGGCTTTTCAGTGGTTCTCCAACTGATGTCAGTCCTTAATTATCACTTCTCTATGATTAATTTATGCACTATCATGACTTACTTTTGGCAGAAGAGGAAATCTTGAATAGTATCCACAATTTGTTTGCATAAATCATGATTAGACGGAGCTGTATTGGAGAGAAAATAAGAATATATATATATATATATATATATATATATATATATATATATATATATAATGAAGTGTTCACATGAATAGACATTGACATGGTAAAACAATAGCATGTAGAAAGCGTTTTATACATTAGAGTGTTTTTCGCTCTATCGATCTGGAAACCAGTTAGTTACTGAAGCAGACAACCTACAGCTTAGGCTTTTTTCTGCGATATCAAATACAGAATGTTGAGTTTGCATCGGGGAATACGGTAAGCTGAAGCTGAGAGGGTTGATTCCAATAGTTGGGATTCACATTGTGTTGAGTCAATTCTTAAAACAATGTTACCTGACCTTTTCTAGAGTCATCACCTACTGTTACTATATCTAAACGGATAGTTCCAATAGATAGCGCAGTGTGTTTTGAGTTATAATAACAACAACCAAGTGGCCATTAACTAGCACTACAATATTACTGCATTATATAGTAGCCTATACATAGGTATGGGCTAGGAAAACTAAAATTAAAATTTTGTAAATTATAGCCTTTTCTGTGGCACTTCTAACAGATAACTAGGAATTCGCTGACCCATGATGTCTCTAACTGTTGGACTAAGTTGTGCATGGAGGTCCAGACAACTTGGATGGTGTAGCCGAGATGACAGGAATCAGTAGTTGAGGACTCTCAAATACACCATGGTCTATTGTGATATCAGTCTTATTCGATCCACTTGTTCCTTGCATGCTACCTGTGGAGTGTGATAGCACGAAGGGATGCGCCTGTGTGCAAGATTCTACGTCGATTTGTGTTTGTCTCTCACCATAGTTATATAGTTGAAATGCACTCTAATGAGCCAATTTCTGCTACCGTAATTATCCGATACACTTACAGTTCTTGAAGAGTGTGCAGGAAATTCTATCACAACGATATGTGATGCATAAAATCATGCTTCAGAGTTTTAGCGAGGAGAAACCATTGCCTATGGAATGATCAGTATTAGCCCGATCATCAGAGAGATTCGTCAGTAATAGTAATAATGCACTGTGACCTTGACTATCTGAGATAATCTAAGTTGTCTAACTGATAGTGATTTTGTTGCTCGCATGTTGCATAATGAAGACAGACTATGCATTATCACATAGACTGTCCAGATTAGGATTTTATCATGAATAGTTTTCTTTCCAAATTTTGTTATCAACTCTGTACATAACTAATACAATAATGATATTCACATAAAGCAGGAACGAAGGTAACAGTAAAGTAATATAAATTGATTGTTTTGAGATTTTGTAATCTTAATTTTTGTATCAAAACATACAATGTTCGCACGATTGAATTCACTCGATAAGAAATTATCAGCTTAAAGAAAAGATAATATGTTGTGTAATAGGAAATGTTTATAATAAGTGATAAACAGTTGGACTGGACAATGATAAGTTATTGTTGTTACTAATTATGGTGTTTTCTATGTAGCATTATCAACCGATATATTGTTTGTCCAATTCTACACTCTTAACCTGATTATCTAAATTCTACCCATCTAATCCTTTTAAGTAGTCTAAATCCTCTAACCTTTTTGAATATTTTAACGCAATATATTTCTCACTATCTATACAGTTATTCCCTTTTCTTCTTTGAATTCCATTCTTGTTTCTGGAATATTAGCCAAATCTTTTCATACATAGACTAAGTTACTACATTCGTTAAAGTGAGTCGATTCACTAAACTCTTATGACTTCAGTTACAGAAGAGGCCTAGGCTATCTGACTTTTGTGTGCAAAAGAATCACCTATAGTCTCTATTTCAAGCTTGATCTTAATTTCTTCTTAGTTTGTCTTTTGGACTTACCCCTTTGTTAGATCGATCTTTGTACTCTTATATCGTCGCTACCGCTTTTATCTTCACAGTTATCAGTTCTTAGTGTTGTTTCATTTCATCTTCCTAATAATTGCAAATATTAACAAAATATTTTGAAGTAGGTATTCATCATGATATCAGTTGGATAAACATCGAAGATCTGGGAGCAATTGACAGCTGTTTCGTTCCAGCATGGGATTCCTTAGCAGTGTGCACCTATCAAACCGTCTTGCCAGGGATCGAACGCAGGACATTCAGGTTCCATGGCCAGCAACCTTACCATTGAGCTAGACACTGGGTCGGAATCAAATGGTCCACATTTCCAACTCCTGTCAGTTTAAGATATGGTATGACCATTACCTAATGTCATCGTTGACTATTTGTCCTCACGTTCACTCAGTTTACCCTACTGGTCACGATTTCTCTTTGGAACCTCAGGAATCACCTCTCAAAGCACTAGATTCAATGTGAGGGCTTTTCTATTTATTGCAAATAAAGTGTCTTATTCATATTACTTAATCCCTTGATTGTTTATTAACTCTACCATGTTTTCAGCCCTTTGTAATCTATCTGATCCCTATATATTATATATAGAATGCAGTCCGTGAGGAAAATTAAACTCTAATTAATGTTTGCCCTTCTGTCTGAATTTGCTGAGGCAAGGAATTAGACAAAACTAATCATTAAAATAAACAGACTTACCATAGATAGAGTTTTTCTTATTGTTAGCATATATTTTAGTTCTATTCACCGATTTATTCGATATCACAACAATACCGGCTGTAATTACTTGGAAGAAGCATCGACAAGCTAATATCCATGTAGTTTGAGATGGACACGCATATTTCAATGCCATAGGTTGATGTAACGTCTTTACAAGAAAAATTGACGAAAAAAAGCAAAAACATAAATCAAAATAAGTACATGATGTGAATCGAAATGCACTTGTCACTTTTGTGTACATTCAGGCAGTAGGCAGTGAGTCACATCTATTGTGTGAGGCCTAATATTGCTATCCGGCTGCCCAAAACCTGGTAGATGAAGCGGGGCTTAAACACACCACCCTTTGATTGGATGTCATCGTCTTAATCCAATTAGCTAGAGCTCCATATGAAATAGAAAAGTTATACAACGCTACACTGATTGCATTAGGATTGGAGGGTAAACAAAGCATAACTGATGATAAAATATCTAATGTGTTTCGTATTGACGGTTTTCACATTGCATGAAGCCTTGTGTAATAAGGGTGTTTCGAAGGAATAAACATTTTGCGATCAGACATCGACCTACAATGAGTACTATCATGAAGTGAACACCGTGAAGATTTATTTATTATTATTATTAGTCCCTTGGGTTCCTAGTGGAACATAGGGCTTCAGTAGCACGCCTCCAGTGAACTCTGTTCTCTGAGATCGTTTGAACCTGGTCCCACGACAGCCCACAAGCTCTCATTTCCTGCTCGCACGACCTCCTCCATGTCACCCTCGGACGTCCAACTCGTCGCTTCCCATGGGGATTCCACTCGAGGGCCTGACGCGTGATGTCCTCAGTCGGCCTTCTCAGTGCATGCCCAATCCATCTCCACTTCTTCCTGCATATTTGTTGCGTGATAGGTTCTTGGTTGGTTCGTTCCCAGAGTTCCTTGTTGCTTATTTTTTCTGGCCATCTGATCTTCAGCAGCGAGCGTAAGCAGTTGTTGATGAATGTCTGTAGTTTATTGGAAATACCTTTCGTGACGCGCCAAGTCTCTGAGCCATACAAGAGCACTGACTTGACGTTGGTGTTGAAAATCCGTATCTTGTTCCACATGCTGAGTGCAGAAGATCTCCACACTGGTTTCAGGCTAATGAACGCCTGTCTTGCTTTTCCGATTCTCACTTTGACGTCCTCGTCCGTCCCGCCTGTAGTTGAAACAGTGCTTCCTAGATAAGTGAAGGAGGTTACTTCCTTCAAGTTTCTCCCGTTGACGGTGATTGGAGTTTGTTGTTGTTGTTGTTGATGGTGGTGCGGTATCTTCATCACTTCTGTCTTCTCTATATTCACCTGAAGTCCCGTCTTAGCTGCCTCTTCTGTCAACTTGTTAGTTTTTGCCTGCAGATCTTCAAGTTTATGTGACATTAGGCATAAGTCATCGGCGAAATCCAAGTCTTCTAGGTTCTTTTCCGTCGTCCAGTGTATCCCCCTCTTCTCGCTGCCTACTGTTTGCTGCATGATCCAGTCCACCACAATCAAGAATATCATGGGGCATAGTAGGCAACCTTGTTTCACTCCTGTCTTCACTTCAAAGGCATCACTGAGCTTCCCATTGTGGATTACTTGGCATGTGGCATCTTCATATAGTTGTTGAATGAGGCGGATGAAGGTTTGCGGTACTCCGTAGTATTGAAGCAGTTTCCAAATTACTTCTCGGTCGACGCTGTCAAAGGCCTTCTCAAAGTCGATGAAGTTGAGGTAGAGAGCTGATTGCCATTCTATGCTCTGTTCTATGATGATACGAAGCGTTGCAATTTGGTCTGCACATGATTTGTACTTCCTGAAGCCTGCCTGTTCCGGTCGCAGTTTTGAATCCAGTGCGTCTTTAAGCCTCTCCAGGATGATGCGGCTTAATATTTTACTTGGGGTGGACAGGAGAGTGATTCCGCGCCAGTTCTTGCAAGCACTGAGGTCTCCCTTCTTCGGCAGTTTGACAAGGTAACCCTTCTTTCAATCACCAGCCAGGTACCTTCTCTTCCTTCCACACCTTCTGCAATAGTGGTGTGAGCATGTCCGCTGTTGTCTCTGCATCTGTTCTCAGTGCTTCTGGCGGTATCCCATCTGGTCCTGCTGCTTTCCCGCATTTCAGTAGCTTTATGGCGTTCAGGACTTCCATTTTCGTTGGGGGATTAATGTTCACTTGTAGTTCAGCGGCTGGGCTGCAGGTGGTATTTCTGGACGAAGTGCAGGTGGTGGTCGATTCAAGAGCTTCTTGAAGTGGTCGGCCCATCGTTTCCTCTGTTTCTCTTCTTTTGTAATTAAATTTCCTTCTTCATCTTTTATTAGTTTCATCTGTGTTGGTCTCTTCCCTGATAGCAACCTGGTTATTTGATACAATGTCGTCAGGTCTCTCTTACCTGCAGCCTGTTCTGCTTCACTTGCCAGTGTTTCGTAGAAGTGTCTTTTGTCGTTGCGTGCACTCTTCTTCACTTCTTTGTCCAGTGTTTTATACATTGTGCTCAGTTCCTCTTGTCGTTGAGCATCCTTGCACTGGTTTATCTTCTGCTTCACCATCCTCCTCTCCTCTCCTCTATCAGCTTCCAGGTATCCGTCGAGATCCATTCCTTGTCTTCTTTCTTCTTCCTTCCTAATACTGTTGTGCAGGTTTCTTTCCACATAGCTTTCAAAGACTTCCAGTGTTCTTCCACACAGGTCTCTTCAGGGATGTTGCTCGATGTCTCCCATTTTGTCTTGATGGCTGCCGTGAAGATCTCCTTTGTAGTTTCATCCTTCAGTTTCCTAGTGTTGTACTTGAGTTGAGGTCTATCACCAGCTTCCTTGAAGGCTTTTAACTTGATTTCGAAGGTTCCTTGCACTAGATAGTGGTCTGAACCTACATCTGCTCCTCTTCTTGACCTTGTGTTAAGTAGACTGCGTCTCCATTTTCTTGAGATTGAGATAAAGTCGATTTGGTTTTTAGTGTGTCCATCTGGTGAAATCCATGTCGCTTTGTGCCTGAACACACTGCCTCCAATCACCAAATCGTTGAATGCGCAGAATTCTGCAAACAATTCTCCATTATCTTCAAACACCGTGAAGATAATCTTATAATTTCAAGCAAAAATCTCCAAATATGAACGAAGAATATTCTTTTCAATAACTTCCTAACAGGTTCTACAGTTATAAAATCAATTTTACTAACTTAGTAACAGCCAGAATTTACAGTGAGTGCATTTCGTTTAAGAATGAGTATGAAATTATAATTAAAATTTGTGTAGCGTAACTTATATATATATATATATATATATATATATATGACAATTGTGGTAATAAGTCGAGTGTAAACTTTGTTGGTTGATTGGTAATTAGACGTACGGGGGAAAGAAAATTAATTATAAAGTTCAAGGTTGCATTGTGTCGAATGGGTGATTAGTACAAAGAATATTACGGATTTACCTAAGGGCATAAGCAAAGTGGATGGTTAATATATAAAACGCCTAAGATAATAAGAGTAGTAATAATTTTAAAAGTCTGGTTAGAAATAATAGCAATGATAATAATTTCGTTTTTATTTTAAAAAGAAGAAAAGAGGAGAGAGGGGATGGAAGCAGAAATGAAAAAGAAAGAAATAAAAGGGTTGAGGGAATACCGTTTGGTCAATGGAAGACCAAGGGAGAAGTAGGACTTGAACGTATTCTTTTTGAATACAAAGTTCAGGCTTCGTTGATCTTATTGCAGCGGCTTCCGCTATATGGAGAATGCGTAAACGAATGGCACATGGCAGTCTTCAAAACGCGGTGTATCACAGTAAAAAGTGTCTTAGGATCAACAAGACCTGAACGTTGTATTCAAAAAGAATACGTCCAAGCCCTACTCCTCTATTGGTATTCCAATGACTAAAAGGTATTCCCTCAACCCTTTGTTTTCTTTCTTATTCTTTCTGCAATGTGGTGACCAATTTCCAACAATGTCACTAACAGTCTCCAATCGCTGATTTCCTTTATTTTGACGTTCACAACCAGACAGTCTACACCTTTCCGCCTACACTATCCAAATAATTCATGGGCATATGATACATTTTGGTCTGACTACCCTTGGTCTTCTTCGAACCCATTTCGACATCGTGTAACATCGCAGGTTGAGGTAGGCAGCGGCTTAACATGAAGAATGCATATTTAAGCCACTTCAGTCAATAGAGGTTCATAACATCAAAGCTTAACTTTTATTCCTTTCTAGAACTCAACGCTGAGCTTTGGCATCTCCCACCATGCGCAAGGGATGCTATGAATATAAGTGTGGTCACAAACATGTAGTTTCTAAGAATCTACTTTTAATAGTTTCGTCTATTAACAGTAATATGTCGGATAGAGCAAACCATAACGAATCTGCAACAAACTGATCATATTCCTACTTAATAACAACTACGATCCAGCTTTAGTACGAAAATTACTTATTCATTAGTATCTCTTTAATGCTGACCAAAAACATGTTGATTACTCTTCTACAATAACAATAAGTATTAATCTCTTTATTGTTATTTTCTGATGTCTGAAACAGTTTCTTACCTAACACCACCTTTTTCTACAGGACGACTAATCTATTCCCTTTTCTCAATAACCTACATAATAGTAGTTTCTTAGTTACATATAAACATACTTGTATCCTTCACTTAAATGCCACAAAAATTTTATATCATCTTACTTATACCTAATAATCCTGCTAGTAATCACATAAGTCTTTGGCAATTTTTAAAAAAAAATTACATTTCAGTCACTATCCATAGTTATTTACTACATACATGACCCAAAATCCTCATCTTTTCAATCCATCATAAATAATTTAGCGATGAATTGACACTTTATTCTAAAAATACACTGTGCTCAAAACGTATGTAATCTTTGGACACAGTCCAATTAAGAGACCCAATTTCACAGAAATGTCAGAGCGAACTGCTGTGTAGTTAATGTCTGCTTGGTGGCTACCAGTGGAATCTGCGCGTTTCGTTCTATTTGGGACTCGTCAGCGGGATGTACCTGCACCCCAACGAATGATATAACCCACCCCCCCCTTGAGACTCAAACCGAGTACTCATCACTTCGAACGCCAAGACCTTATCTACTAGACTACCTCTTGTGCTGTATAGTTAGTTCGACCACTAATAGGTAATCAGATTTCCCGATACCGCTATGGACGGTAAGCGTTAAGAAATGCCAAACGAGGATTTCATAATCGTTTAGTCAACAACCTTAAATAGACTGCTGCAATTTCCTATGGGAATTAAAGTCATCAATCAGTTCGACTAATTCACTCTCTTCTGAATTAATTTGGAAACAGATACAATAATTTTTCTTGAGAAAATCCTGTTACCCATATGACAAAGGAGGGGAGAAAATTAGAAGTATATAAGGAATGATTCAAAATTGTGTAGTTATCTTGATATGACGGCCGATAATAAATTATGTCCGAAACGTAATCCAGTAAATAATGCTGTCTCACTGTAATAAATCTAATAAATCAATTGAAATGGAATTATATTCCGCTACAGTGGACAAGTTTTAATGTTATACTGATGTTCAGATTATTGTTTATGTTATCCTTTGGATATTATCTTATGTGATATTCAATGACTTATTCGCAAACTCAAACGATTCAACGCAAAATAAATAGCTATTCAAGCAACTCTTAACAGTGAAGCAAACGGTTGTAACGCTGAGCTAAAGTTTGAAACCTGTAAATTCATGTAAAAGCTTCAGGTTTATAGTTTTCTTTATATGGTTCCAAATATCCAGTATAAAGTATCAATGATCCAAAACAAATTTCCTGATCAAGAAGTTTTGAACATGAAGTGGTATGACCACTGAAAATGATGTGAAAAAAGACAGACGTGATCACCATAAGACATCCTCATCACACGAAGGTTCCATTAGTTACATATGTCAGTAGAGTAGGGGAGAAAAAACAAAGAAACGTGAAGAAAAACTGTAGAAAATTAACGGAAAAGAAGATGGTTAAAGCAAATAAGAAAACCCAGTACTAGGAATTTTTACTCCAATTTTCAGCTCAGGACCATATTCGAGGCAGGATATCGTCTGTTTAGACATTATAGTCTCTTAACCTGGGGATCCGTCCCTTCAACGAGCAGGAAACACGTTTTAGCAGAGCAACCACACAAAAATGAACACTCCTACCAAAGCACTTTGTTAACGCTCCCCCAACACTGATCAACAAATCTCTTCCTCCCCAGTATCAGGCTTCAACATATCCGCATTCGCCCGGTAATCGGCTCATTGACTGTACTCACCACTCCTTGTAAGTAGATGAACATGGAGTATGTTTCACTGACTATCCACAAGCCACGGAAGAAACTGTGGCAAGGCATTTGACTACCTGGAGAGTATCATAGTTACTTCTGCCAGGAAATCTAGTACTGCTAGTAGGTTGAAGATGAGATGCATATGCATCTGCATCACTGTGATCAATTTTGAGCCTTGTCAATTACGGTTCCCAACCATCTGTTTCAATTAGCACCTAGGCCTCAATAAAGAAGTCAATATGAGGCTGTATATGGCTCAAATCTACAACCAAAAACTCTTCAAATTGGTGCCATTCTTTAACATGTCCATACCACAGCTAGTTTCAGCTAATATAGCGTTCTAGGTATAGATGATGGTTAGATATTTATGAAAAATGTGAGTAAGAAGGATAGTCTTTTCAATGATGAATGTAAATCGATCCGATTGATTAGGACACATCTAATACAAGTAAAGATTACAAGCACTGCAGAGTGAGGTGGCATTCGGAGTACGGTTGGGGTAAAATAAAGTAGAGGGTGGGGTGATGAAGCCATGATATAATGTCAGTTATTGAGTTTTGTTGTGATCTATGTAACCTTGCTAGTGAGTCTTTGAGATATCAGTGATCAGTAATGGGGGATTACGGTTGGTGTGAAGCAAGCCTATTTACACATACACAATCACTTGAAGCAGTGAACATTTAAATACTTCTCATTTATTCATTCGCTCTCTTCTTTTACACCTTCTTGTTGTCTGTTTTAACAAGTTTTCAACTATAAACCACCTTGTCTCTCTTCTCAGCTGCGAACAATAACTAATGCATGCTTGTGTAGAATTCTACACTGTTACCTGCTCTCATCATGCAAAGCTGATTGACTTGAGAATAAGTGACCGTCTAGAGATGTTTATGGGAATGAAAGTATATTAAAAACTTACTCTAATGATTGATTCAAGAATTTCAACACGACACATTTCAGGCCATGTTACAGTTGTCTGATACAAATCCACTGCAATTAGCAAAGATTTTTCAGCAAATACAATATAATTGAGGGGGATGACATCAAGCTGTTTAAAAACAAATACAGAGGGAAGTGACAGAAGTGTAAACCAGTAGAAATAGATTATACAGATTATTTTTTGTGAAAACGAACGAGTGAACCGTGTTAAATTAGGATGATACTTAACCGAAGTAGAAGTAGAGTACAATTATTTCCGTGTATATCTGTCCACATGCATCGAAGTCAATTCTACCTGAATTCGGAACAGTGCATGGCTTTTGAACAACAAAAATCAAATATTTGGCTGATAACTCTAATAGTGATATTGTTTACTTTAAGATTTGCTAATACTGTGTCAATAAGAAGCGACAGAAGTGAAGTTAAAAATACTAAAATGTTCAGATTCACTATCGACGATGTTAGAAGGATGAGAATGTCGTGGTAGTCAACCGGATAGACATAGAAACAAAATCAACGTAGAACCTCAGGGACGTCAACCAGACAGTCTACATCTATGATAGATGCCAAGTGGATGGAGGCATTTGGCAGGAACCTTTAGACCTAGGTTTCGTGCTCTCTAGTACTCGTCAGCAAGGCCCGAATAGCTCAGTAATAAAGTCTCATACTGCAGCACTGGGTGATGCGGGCTCGAATCTAAGGAGGGACATCAGTTCCATAGAGGTTGCAGAGACGCCTTGCAGACGAGGGCCAACAAAGACGAAACCCAGGTCCAGGGCTTCCTGTCAATTATTACCATCCAACTGATATCTATCAAAGTTCATCGCGATGCTGAGTCAACTAATCTGGTGGCTAAATTGCAAAATGATCGATAGGATTCGGTGTGCACTTAGGACTAGACGACATAAAGCTGGTTACTCTCCAGTGACTAGTCAATGAGTCTACATCCTACCACACGGGTCGGAGCAATAGTAATAGACTTCATGCACTATTGTCACGTCTTGGTCTGGGTCACGCTGAACCTTCGTTTAACCTAATCCAACTTCCCTAGAACGGCACGTCGAGATCGGCGGTGGATCGGCATGTATATATATATATACATCAAACGTGGTCTTCACCTACAACTTATGATTTTCCCACTCTTGTCATATTCCGTAATTCGCAATACCTAATGTACTATTGTTCAATTTTCAATAGTTCGAACAAGTTATTTTGTTTCAATAACTATTCTAGTTACAGACTGTATGTAGGCGATGAATATCCGTTAAAAAATATGATATTACCCTGAAAATTAAGTCACATTCTTGCTTTGCTAAGAATTATGATTACCATTAGATGTCAAAATGTTTGTGAGATCTAAAAAATTAGGAAAGTAAACAATTCATACTATACAGTCCCAAATTCCACAATGACTGATGCTTCTGTTTACAACTAAGAATTAACTAAGACAACATGACACTGATTTACTTCAACTGAGGATACAGCTCTACACCACAACTGAAATTTTCAATGCATATAGATGAACAACTTTTGTATCATTCAGTTATCCTCATATCAAGAAAAAACAATTTTATCTCAATAATCTAGGAAGATTAGTAACAATCCTAGGCTTTAGTAAAAAAGAAGTGGAAAACTGGAAAAAAATGTATGTATACATGCAACCAAAGTACTCACTCGACTGTTCAGTTGGTGAGGTTTAGGGATTTGAACAGCATAACCAGTTAGTGTGAGAAGTAATTGTAATATGCGAGGAAGTATACATGGTGGATTGCTATCGTTGCTGTTACCAATAACAGACGTGGTGGTAATGATACAATTACTGCTATTTTGATCAGAACTGAAGTTCTGTATGAAAGAATAAAACAAGAGAAATAAAATTTAAACGAGAGAAACAGCTAAGGTAGAACGGCTATGAGACTATATACTGCATATAATTGGGACAGTTGGTGACATTCATAGAGATAACCTTATTCAACAAACAGAGAAAATTCATTCTAAATATAACAGAATAATAAAATAAACGAACTCAGCAACCTTATGCATACTGGTATATAGGGCAATGAACCACACCTATTGTGTAAGGGCTAAGTTGTCTTTGGATAGTATAGTATGTAGAATGAAACCTTGGCAGCAAATTATGTAATTACAAACCAGTTCAAGAATATGTAGTGCTCAAGAATCTATGACGATGACTCAATTTTAATTCGACACTCCTCTGTTTCAGTGATTAAACATATTATATCGACACTTTAAACATTCATTTTGGTTAAGTAAAATAGTGAATGAGCTGAAATCCCATTAATACTAATTACTGCAAGTCGTAAATTCTCTCTCAGATGATAAAACTAGTTATTAGTAAACAACACCCATAAATTATGATGGATTTAAAAACTATTTAACATTTGTACACACCCATACATTTCGCCTACTAGGCAGTAATAATGAAACAAGCCTTGATAAAAATTTCTTTGGAACACAATTTATCCTACGTCAGATGACTTATTCACTATCAGTTTGAATCATTAAATAGTTCTACAAATCGGTAATCAACAACTGATTGCAGGTTTGTTGGTACACTCAGATGGTTAGTGTTATTATCTCTTTGATCACAGAAATGATGAGATAAACAGACTATAATACATTATTATTTACCTGATAACGTTTTCAGCATAAATTGTTATTGCTCATAAGCATATCAATGTTATCACACTACGTTCGACATCTCCTTTTTATAGTCCTGTCACCTCATATTATTTGGTTTTATTGGCAATAAGATTTTTCATATCTCTAGTGTCAGTGTTGCATTATTCCTATCAATACCCAACATATGTAACAGGAATGATGCAACACTCATATTAGACATATAGAAAATTTTACTACCGAAAAAAACAGATAATGAGGTGACAGGACTATAAAAAGATGTCGAAAGTTGTATGATTACATTGACATGATTATGAGCAGTCATAATCTACGCTCGTAACGTCATCAAGTAAATAACACTGTATCACTCGCTGTGTGTTATATATCAAATAAGCAAATCTAATATGGAATTACATTGTACCACAGTGCCCAAGTTTTACACATACATTAATGAGACTATGCTACAGTATTCAACACGACAATTCTTCCAGACATATCGAACAAACAAACGATAAAATCAGTCTATTGCATAGCATTTGAAAAAAAAGATCAGTATAACGCTTCTCTAAGTTTTTTGAGCGTTGATATGCAGCAAAAATTTATTTTTAGTATTTTTAAGTCGGACTGTTATTATTCAACTGGTGACAGAAAAGTGATATAATCGAGATATGTAAACAGAAGTAACATTTTCTATAAAATATAATTCAATTTATAAGACAAAATATGAAGAATAGTGTTACTTTTAACAAACAGATTGAATAAGTCATTGCACATCAAATTATAGAATACTTGTTTGAATATCTGTGCGCTTTCATGCTTTCTGCAAGCTTGGATGTTAGTTCATTTTAGTGAGGAATTAAATTTCACCACTATTCACCATTTTGATGCCACTGTATAGTGTGTAAAGAAACATATGAAGTTGTTAAGTCACTTTATAACAGCCAGAAGTGAAGAAGGAATCAGGATGAACAGTAAAGTCATACAATGTACGAGAATGACAGTGAATAGTGCTGGTTTTCTCCTTGGAAAGCAGTAAATCATAGTCTTTATTTTTTAAGTTGGTTTTCAACATCGATTGACATCAGTTGGAGGAACATTGGAAACCTGGGAGCACTGGACAGCTGTATCATCCTAGTATTGGACTCTTCAATAATGAGCTTCATGACCGCAACAAGGATCGAAAGCGCGACCTTCAGGTTCCTAAGCCACCCCATCTTACCATTGAGCTAGCCACTGGGTCGGAATCCAACGGTCCATACTTCCAACTTCTGTCAATTCATGACATAGTATTTGTCCTTACGGCTACCAAGTTTGCCCCACCAGTCACGACTTTTCAGTGGAACTTCAAGAATCACCTCTCGAAGCTAGTTACCACTGAGCACTAGTTCAATTGGATTTGGGGATTTGTGAAAATTTAAAGATTTTTTACGTTGGTATTCATCCTCCGACTGATGTCAGTCCATGATGAATACTAACTTAAGAAATCTCTACATACAACCCCCCCCCCCACAAACCCCCCGAATTCAATAGTCTTTATTAGATTTTCGGTTTTAAAAATATAGGTCAGAATGACTAATCTCGACAACTAGTAAATCAATAGAGTTTAGATTTTTGAATATTACGTGAAGCTTAGGGTGGAGATGAAAGTAGGTACACCTCACTATGTATTTTCATCACTGTCAAATCGTACAGTCAGAAGTGTTTGATCAGAGCTATTTGGCGAGATGATTTAATTTGGAATCATTGTACAATGAAACCTCAACGATGAGATGAAACTTGGTGCGCATGCGTCGGCACACATACAAAAGGTAAGTATACAAACATAAAAGATGAAGGAAAAGGGTTCAAATGAAACCAATCGAACAATTTTCATAAAATGTTTTAAAAATTCGTAAACTCACTTGTACAAGGCAACTTAAACAGCGTAAAACAGATTCTTGTAATGACGTCAATGTACCATCGTCAATCATCATTAAGCAAGATGATGACGGTAATGTATTGGTGCCTGAGTTAGTTGTATTGATAGATGTATTCGGATATAAATAAGTAATATACAATGGAACTAATACACCGATATGTATTAATTCAGCTAATCGATCAAAATCTTTCAATTGGAAATTTACTTTGATATGATCAAATATAGGTATGAATAGATCGAAGAATAGTGTTATGAATGACATACTTGGCAGGAATATGAATGGTGCATAAGAAACCTGTGTACAAAGAGATGATAATAATAGTCATCGAAAAAAGACTAGTAACTCAGAGATGTACTAAATTTTACGATAGTTACACATGAAACATATAGGAATAAGTTCCGATCTAGTGGATGAGTATCCCACTAGTATTCCACACTTAATGAATAACTGGGGACAATAGTGAAGTTATTGAACTAGTGGAGAATGAATGAGAAGCTATACATTTATGTCCTACGCTTATATTCACAGTTATCAATAATAGGTATCTAGAACCTCATGTGAATCAATGATTCCTTTAAGCTTTTATTAGTTACTACACAAAGCGTAGTAAAGTTCTCGGTTTCCTTGACATCACTCGAATCCTCAACAGGAAGACAGTTGGGTAAAGTTCATAAATCGATGTGAGATATGTAGACAACTTTAAACTTCTGAAGATTCAAGAGAAGCTATGAAAACTATGAAAAGTTTTCATGAGAGACAGCTGAGAATACAAAATAACATAGGCGATTGCACCATGAAAAGTTCTATAGTCTTCAATAGCTGGGCAAGAGATCATATCTGTCTCAAAGGTTATTCGGTTTGCACAAGATATTTGCACCTAACAATGAAGGCATTCAGATAGATGCCGTGCACGAGTTAGGCATAAGAGAGAACCAGTGTTTATACACTTCAATAAAGGATGCATTATATTCTGTGTGAAACGGTAACCTTATTAGGTCATCTAGTATATATCATTACTCAGAGTATTGAAGCTAGTCTAAGAAGAATCCTGAACTAAAACAATAAAATGAGTTCTAAGTTAAATGTGAATTCATCAGACAATCAACGTATATATAGCCAGAAAGTATTTAGCAGAATATGGACAGTGTTTGTTCAACCACAAATTACAATTACTTTTTCTATTGTTGAGAAGCTAACCCATGAATTACAAGAGTATATCAATTGCCTTTTTAAATGAGGTTCAAAACCCACTTTGGCAATGCTTTTATTGAATTAATGTGAAAGGTAGAATCAATCAAGACACTAATCCTCTCCTTTTGATATTTTTATGAAGTGCTGATAAACTCGCTTAGCTCGGTGATGAAACGTACAAGAACAAACTTCAAAGCTTGGAGATCATCAAACAATTATCATCCTCATCCTGAGGTAAAAATCATGTCTACTGTCTAGTGGATTAGTGAGATTAAAACGACTGCTGGAAACGATGAGCAACCTTCGTGGTGAAAATAACTCCGGCACCTGGTATCAGTAAGAAATGCACAATACTGAATAACTCACTTTATGAATATTTTCATGCATAATATTATTGCTGCTGTTGGTGTTAAGATGTTCCGAAGAGTTTATGATAGAATTATTAATATGTGGAAGAGAGTCAGCACTAATATTACCATTACTAAGACTACTATTCACGTTGCTGACAATATCATTACTGGATTGAACAAAGGCGATTGCTCGTTTTCCGATCTGTAACCAAGTTTCCCAAAAGGCAGACCAAATCAACTGAGGTGATAGATTTGTCATCGGTGTTGACGATGGGAGATGTAGGTCGAGTAGAATTTGCATACAATTTAATGAAGCCAATGATATTTCTCCACTATCCATGTATGCATTCACCTTAAGGTGATCAAGCAGTAATTGCCAAAATTTTGGAAAATCACCTGTAGAAGCAAAGTGAACAGTAGAAGTGAAAGCCATCAATCTAAAAAAAACATAAGTTGTTTGATAAGATTCTTAAAAACTCAACTAGTGCTTACTAATCAACGCTATCTACATTATCTGAGAGACACTTAAGTATTTAACAGTGGTGAAATATTATGTGCAGCAGTTTTTTATCTTACTTTACTGGTGTGAAACTTGCTTTCAGAAGATGTAAAACTTAAAAGGATCTTACGTATTTGAGTAAGATATCGCTACAAAAAACTCTTAATTTTCTTGATGTGAACAAGTTTAAAGGACTATGATTCAGTGGAATTTTATGGGAAGGAGGTAAGGTGGGTCACTGTATTATGTATTATCAATGACCAACTACGACCTAGGTTGAAATATCACTTTGATTTGAGTATAAGAAAATTGGAAAAGACCAATCCAAAAAATGATCAACCTTCGATCTTAGCTGAGGTTTTTGACACGTTAGAGGATAGCATAGGTAATTTGGAAGTTGAATAGTATCAATATTCACGATATTAAACACATTAATGTGAAACGGGTAGCTGGTGTTACACTACCGTCTGGTCTAGACTCAGGGATGAATCCAAAATAGTGTGAACATGGAATAAAAATCTACAATTCGACAGCTATCCTAGGAATAGTACTGTGTTGTATTTTTTTAGGATTTATATGTCCCTTTCCATTCGGAATAACGTTTTTTCTTTCTTTTGTTCTTAGCTTGAGAAAAGACCGTTTGAAAATATTTTAAAAAGGTACGAGACTATGTGATACATTTGTAAGATTAAAACAAACAGAAAGGAGAAGAATTTTCTGAAATATATTCGGTGGAAAATGTTTGGTAGCATAAGGTTTAAGCAGACCCCGAAGAACTTGATAATAGTCAACAGTAAAGCCAGATAGCCTAACTTTTGTTGTATCAATTGATAACAGAAAATTTCAAGCTTCAATAAGAGAATGTTCAAGCTTAGCAAGATGTGAATATTAGAACTCACCAACCTGTTTGACAATACTGTAACGTTTGAAGCCCAATAGGAGCGAATGTAAATAGTACTGACGAATAAGACGTGGGGTGAATTATGAATTCTGCATTTCACCCAACTGATTATCAACATTTATATACATGCAAACATATGAAAAAAAATGAAACAGTGAATGGTCTACGAGAACATCAAATTGCAATTTAAGTATTAAAGATTGGATTGTAAACTGAGGGGATCTGACTTACTATAGATAAAGATGAGTGAACTAAAATGTATATACATCCTTATTGTTATGACAGTCAGTAGACAGTGGTGTTGAAACACATTTATATAAGCCATTTAAGTTCAGATTTTGAAAATAAACTGGAAAGATAGATGTGATCTACTTAGAAATTACTATAACAGCGTTTGCATCACTACATAAACTTATCTGTTAATTTATTTTTCACCTTACGAAAAGTTTTTCCTTAAATTGAACAGGTCTCATAAGATGTAATAGGATTTTTATTTTCACCCATTCTAAACACTAGTCTCAACTAAACGTGGTAACGTAATTCACCTTTCAATCGACCAATTTTTCATTGCAAGATCAACTACCCGCCTCCAACTCTTACCTTATCATGTATTGAAGAGGACATATTTATGTTTCGTTCAATATATTAAATTTGTAACGATTTTGTCTGCATCTTTATGCTGAAATACAAGCTGTGTCCCACCAAAATCTGAAAAATACATTATATCCTAATTTGATTGGTTTTGGCTAGTAGGAGAATCCAGGACGCATCCTCCGTGGCACAGTGGATAACGTCTTGGCGTTTGAAGCGATGGCTACGAGGTTTGAGTCTCAGTGGGAACAACACTGGAGTGTAGGTACATCCAGCTGACGAGTCCCAAATAGGACGAAATACGCGTCCTGGATTCTTCTGCTAGTCACAACCAACAAAACTATCATAATTAACATTCAGGCAATATCGAGGTATCCGCATAGGAGCCCACATGCTAACAGAGGTCGAACAATTTGATCCAACAAAACAATGGAGAATAACAAGTATGTCAACAAATAGTAATACATTATATCTTATTTTGCCAATATTCAATGTTACAGATCAGTACAATATTCTCAAACAGCGTGAAATACAGCTCTAATGCAATATTTGTAACACTCTTTATGTTGTCTCATTATTCATGATTTCGATATACACCGCATATGATGTATTATAACAAGAAACCTTGACAATTACCAAGGGATAATACTAACAATGAGTCAAGATTATGAGTGGTTTAAAGAAATAAAATGGAATGAATGATAATCAATGTGTACTTTTCAATACTCATAATGGTATCGTCAGAATAAATACAGAGGGAAAAAGAATGAATATATCATCAATATGAGAAGAGTAGTCCTGGGAATTCATAGTAAAATAATGTATGCTTATTTTATTGAGCAGTGTAACGTAAAAATATAGACAAAAAAATACATTATCTTTTCTCCGAATATAATCTCATGTAACTTGAAGATCTCAGCACAGGTCCATATAGTAAGCTATCCTTAAAAGCTAATAGTACTATTCAGTTTTCCATTTCGGAATACTTCTAGTGGATTTGAACATACAATTCACCGTAAAACTACTGTTTTACAATCACCTTAATTAGTAAATACAAGTTTTTGCAGACTCCCATTAATGATACTACAAATCGAATAACCATTGAGGGATATAGTCAAAATAAATAAGGGAGTATAAGTAACCAAACACCACCTGGTGAATTTGGGTACTTAACTTTGAGACAAATTATGTTGGTTGAAGGTTAACAACAACAACCTAAACTAAGGAACTGAATTGCAGAATAAGACAGTAATCCATATCGTTGAGACAATTGAGATTTGTAGTTTAGGATGATGATAGATAATATATGCTGCTGCTTGTATGTTGTCGTTACTAATTGGACCGAATTGATCGATCTCAATCAGAATATGGGGCTCCTGCGCGGATGCATGGATATTACCTATCTTTTCAATCCCATGTTAATGATGAATAATGGCTGGCAGTGAAATACAGGACGTGCGTTTCGCAATACGTAGGAGTTGTCAGCTGGATGTACTTGCCTCTCAGTGAGCGATCAATCCAGTCCAATCCATGACGAGCAGCAACATAAAAACTTTACCCATCGCACAAGAAGTGGCTATCGTAACTCGATGGTTTAGTGGGTTATGCTCTGGTGTTTGAAGCGATCGATCCCAGGTCCGAGTTCCAGTACGAACGACATCGCTCACTGGGGGGCAAGCACATTCAGCTGACGAGTCACAAAGAGGACGAAACGCGCACCCCCGAATTCCACTGCTAGTCACTATACATCATTACCATAAAGATGATAAGTGTTGTTTATTTTACTGTTGGTTTATTGATGGTGGTATGACGTTAACGTTGAAATAACGAAGCTGAGAAAATACAGAAAAATATCCAATATCGTGATTATAACCATCATGTTTCCTGAACATAAACATCCCTTCCCTTTAAAAAACATAAAATTTTTACAACCATGAACTGATAACAATAAGTAGTAGATCTGAATTATGAGCAAAATGGAATTATATTTCAGTTTATTAAGTGTTTCTGCTTCGCGAAACACGGATAGATAAAAGATCATTATTAGTCAACATATGTATACAATATAACAAATAACCATTTATGTTTTAAAATGAAGTGATGAATGAAGGTGAAATGAAAACCTGGTTAGCGTTGGGATTCGAATCAGCGACCTCCGAATTCATTTATATGAATTGCAATTAAAGATTGAAAACCAACGTTAAAACGAAAAATTGATATGAAAGATCATCTTATAAAAATTCGATATATATATATATATATATATATATATATATATATAACAATACAAACAGTAAACGCAGAACATTATGAAAATATTTTTCAGGCTAAAGAACATTTAAAAAAAGATAAATAAAAAATAATTTGATGGCTAAAATAAAATTTCTGAAACCTAAACAAAATTTCAATCTAGCGAAGCATGAGATGTGAGCGTAGTAATGAAGTTATAATAAACTAAGCGGTTTTTTAAATAGCATGAGGATAACAATCAACCGAATAAGGATAATACAAAAGGGTGAGATATTTCACAGATTGGAATGATAATTTCACAAGAGATTACTCAGTCACAATAATTGAAGTAGAAAAAATGAACGAAAACCTCTCACGTTTTGCAACCAGTAATTCCAAAATATTAAAGATTAGTTGAGGGTATACCTAGTTGGAAAAGCATTAGAAAGTGGTCATAAATGCTGTAAAGAAAAAGAAAGAAAAGGCTTGTCGGAAAAATCAAGGGATAGCAAGTTTCATCCTATTTGACCCTCAGGCAAGTATAATAGGAACCATGAAGAACTTATTTCCTTTAGGTAATTCGAGCCGAAATCATTCAGTGATGCAGACACTCCTTGCTAATGAATGCAAACAAGTATTAAATCTAGGTGCAGAGCTTTCAGTTGTTTGACTCTCAAAGCCGAAATACAGTGCATTAGTGTCATATCATTTAAGTAGAACAATAGAATCGGTAACTCAATCGGTAAACTTCACTCAACACTGAGCAGGACAGACTAGACAGAGACGTCGCTTATCTCCTGCTAAATGATTCGTCTCAACAATTCGTTATCACAAAAGAAATTGACATCAAGAACAGATAACTATTGAAGACACACTAAAACCAGTCAGGGATAAATAAATACTTTAATCAGGTGATTTAACCATGTTAAAAATTCACAAAGTTGCAAAAATGTTATCCATAAAGGACTGACATCAGTGCCTCTAGTAGTTCTCTCAACAAGAGGAAGTTGGATTAGGCTGGAAGGGGATTCAGCATGGCCAGATCAAGACGTAGTCGATAAAGTTTCTTATTGTTGGTTTGATCCGTGAGGAGAGATGTAGACTGCCTGGCTGACGTGCCTGAGACGAAATGAATCAGTGGCTGAGGACTCTTTGTGACATGTGTGAAAATCGGTCACAATGGCGTAAATATACTCTCTTTGATATCTCCTAAGGCTTAAATGTTTGCAGTGACCTTCATCTTTAGACAGTTTATTCCCTCACATTACTTTATCTTCCTTGATATCACTCTATCCACCTGTTCTTCGCATACTACTGTGAAGTGTGACAAGCTGAGTCGATGCGCCTGTGTGCGAAGTTCTACGTTGATTTAGTCAGTCAGTCAATCAATGGTTCTATAACTGATGTCAGTCTGCGATGAATATCAACTTGAAATCAATGAACGCTTCAGGAAACTAGGTTGGAAAGTGCCAATTGCTGAGTACATCAAGATGAAATCAATCGAAGTAGTGTCCCACATCTCCTGAAAATTGGTATACTTGCTGTGACACGAACTTAATTTGATTTTGGAGATGTCTACTTTTACATTCAATTTAACTCAGCGGATACACTGCAAAAAGAAAGATTTTTCGACTTAACACTGTTCACTTCAGTTGGAGGAAAAAAATAGGAAGGTCAGTTATTGCTATTTACACACATTTATAGAATGGTAGTGCAATCATCTAAATCCTTAACATAATGAATGCCTGAGACAACTGAAACATGAAAGTTATAAAGTATGAATTCAACTTGTACGCAGTAACTTCCAAAACCCAGAATGTCTGATGGTCAAATTTCAGTAGATTGGATATACATCATGTGATGCAGTTACATACATTTTTATCCAGCTGTACAGAATAAATACCATATTATTCTTAACTTTTCAATCCATTGCTTTAATGTTCACTATCCAACCCTTTACTGTAATCCCTCACAAACATTGTCAGGAACGTTGTCAGGAACAATCTCTATGATCTTGTTTATTTCGCTGTGGCAATTTAGAATTGCAGCAGTTTAAAATATCAAAAAATTTTCCTCTCTAGATGGCGAGGGTGTTAAATTCAATCATGTTACGAAAGAATAACAAAAGTAAAGAATTTTTCCTTGGTTTTTTTCGACTTCCATTTTTAAATGATATGAGATTTAATGGGACTTACTTTAAGCTTATAAGAACGCTTTAATTTGTTTGCTTATCAAATAAGAGAACAAAGCATAGCTAGTTTTTCCATCAAGTTGCATTTTTGACTAACTTTAACTAATTGCACCGCTTTTTTATTATATCAATCAACTGTGATGAACACTAGATGTGTAGAGTTTATCCACTTTCAAGTATTTCAAATATAGGTTATCAAACAACTGTATCTTGGGGTATTTACATTGCAGTTAATTACACATACTATATAATGCATTGTCATTTTCGTCGTTAAAACATAAGGTTGTAGAGATATATCTATTTCATTCACAAATGAATTACAATACAACAATGAAAAGATTAAAAATAAAAACATTTTCGCTTAGTAAGGAACTGGTTGCGTGACAAGGTGATATTCACGGTGGGAAAAGAAGCTACTTGCATAACATGACAGAATGAAGGAAGATTATTTACAAGAATAGTGTTTTTATAGTTGAAAAGGCATTCATCACACGTATAAAAAGGTGGTTCCAAGCTAATGGAATAACTGCTTGTAATGAAGACAAGCGCTTATACAAGCACATGTATGTTCATACCTTAATGGGCGAAGCCTCTATGCGCTCGACTGGAAGATGAGAACGTCAATTGTGTAGCAAGGAAGAAGGCTGAGTACTCACTTCTTTTTCCGACGAAACGTGGAGTAATATTCGTTTTCCTGTCGAAAGAGGAGTAAAGACAGCTGGTAATTTGCCTACAAGCCAATAGATTCCTGCAATCTTGTCCGAACTGATTGATGTGAAGAGACTCATTTCAGATGACTTGACCGTAATCAGGAGAGAAAGTAGCTTAAAAGCAAGTTTACTAAGGGTCTTCGAAATGATCACGGGCAGTAGTGGGTGGTGAGTGAGAGAGAGATGAAGAAGGTGTCAAAAGTGAATAATACCAAGCAGTTATTTAGACTTAGTAAGAATTCTGACAATATTGAGTAACGTTGGGAACCTGGGAGTACTGGACAGCTGTTACGTCCCAATATGGGATTCCCTCAGGAGTGAGCACTCATGATCCCACCAATAATCGAATCCAGGGCCTTCAGGTTTCGTGGGACTTGAGTGCGTACTGCTGAGGAGTCCCATACTAGACGAAACAGCTGTCTAATGCTCCCAGGTATACAATGTTTTTCCAACTAGTGTCAGTCCATGATGAATACCAACCTAAAATAAATAAATTCCCACAAACCTCTAAATTGAATATTGAGTAACTTTAAGGGGGAAGAAAGGATAAAAACGCTTCAGTGGCACAAAAAAAAAAACTCAAAAGAAAAGTGAAAACATGCGATTATTAGATTTTAACAGTGTATAAGGAAGGTAGAAATGGTAACATAATGAAATAGATTCAACCAATCGAATTATAAAATTTAAGAGCATGAATATCTAAAACTCGATTATTAACCTGTCAGTTAGTGTCTCTAAAAGTTGATTTTTTTCCACTTCAACCAGATAACAAGTACACAGTTTCTCACTGACTTCAAAGTAAACGCTTATAATCCATAAACTAGAATATATTCACATAATAAAACTAAGATACTCTTATCAAAAGAGAAAATATTGACTAGGGACAGTCGTTTGAGTTTACTAACGAAAGCTATATGATTTTTTTAATATGTAAACGGATAAATAAGCAACCAAATTAAACAGATCATTTCACTTACCAAGTGTTAATAGTTGTGATTGTTTCGATATGAAACAGTGTGAGACACCTGATAAAGTGAGTACTACAGTCTCAGCCCATTGTTTAGATGCTGTATCACGACTATGATGAATTAACAGACTATTCGGTTTATCTCCAACTTTCTCCACAGGTGCACTTTCATATAAATTGTGAACATTAGATAACAAGGGGAACAATATCTAGAAAAGAAGGAAATTAGAAGAAAACAGTGAAACATTTTATATGATAATCTTCAGGGTATTTATTAGGGTTGTAAGATATGAGTTAACGAGAAAGCATACGCATAAATAAATATGCATTAGCCGAATGAAGATTATACTCATAATGGGCAACAGTTTTATTCATTTCTCACTAAGCATATCGGTGATAGTGTAGTGCGTGCTGCTGATAATAATGGATATAAGTAGTATATGATGAGGGCGGTAGAAATCATAGGCAATGTGTAAATATTCTGCCCAGAGAAAAGTAAGAGATAATGTGGGAGTATTAGGAGAAAATCGAGATAGAAGCAGAAGAGGAAATGAAGCACATTGTGCAAATGACTGTTTCAATCGAGCGTACACTACTACTACACATGATGTCAAAGATAAACATTCCTTCCTGCGTATCTGTATAGTAGTTTCTTACAATAGTATTTAAATTACTTCGTATCAGATACCCGAATTTCTTGCATTTTAAATTGTCTACGCAGTTGCCATATACCTGTAGTGATTATTATTGTCATTATTATTCCTGCTGCGTAAATGAAGGCCATATGTTTCATCTTGACAAATCTGAATAAACAATTATATCTGAGATCCATTTACGCACTGACTTTAAAGGTGACATTCGCAGCAGACTTGTCTAGTACTTCATCTAACATTAAATACACCTACTTGGTAATGCTGTGCACTTTAACATCAATAATATGGCATAAATCTATATTGCTGTGAACGGTAGCACTTAAAGAGCGGGAAATACTTGAGCATACATATTTACTTGCATTACATGATTATGTGGACTTTTACTGATTCCCGAAACCGTTGATCATTGAAGCTATAAACATAAGAATTAACAGTGAAATAAACGCTTATCTGGCGTAACATGGAACTATGCGGACGAGTCGAACATGTCGCCTACTTGTAACGCAAACTTTATACCACTTATGGTGAGAAAAAAATTACTGAATATGATCAAAATTCAGCAACACTGTGTATGTGTAGTGAAAAGTGATATTTTCATGTTCGTTTCACAACTTGCAGACTCTTTTAATGTTGTGTTAGAGTTTAAAGTTTAACGTCCTCTCTTATGTACCATTCAGGACCGCTAAAATCTTGTAAATTTCTCAAACATTATCAATTCGATGATGCCTGTAAACTGGCTTCTCTCACGCTAAATTCATATAATGAGTATAAAAAACATTTATTGATTTATTTGTAAATTAATTATTATTTATTGTTCCACATTAATTACATTAGTTTAGTAATGAAAACAACAGAATAACCAAACGACTACGAACTTCATAACAAGGTTAACATGTAAGCCTTAGACAATATAAACAAATCAAGTTCTGAAATGATTTGTAGCTCAGGATGACGATGATGGTAGTTCTGTGTTCTCTGAGCTTTGATATTTTGTCATGAATGTTTCATCATTAAGCTCAGAGAACACTAAACTAACATTAAATCACGTTCTGTGCTACTTAGATTACAACTAATCTCATATCCTAGATTTCAGAATTTTAACAATAATGATGATGAACACAGTTAGAAAAGTGTAGAATTTTTGAATGATGTAACTCATCTCAAACGTGTGTTATATTCATCAACAAAAATGAATTTAAGCAATTCAATTCTCTACATAAAAATTCTTTTGTGATATTCAGGATCAAATGAAATCATCAAAATAATATCAATAGAATTCATATGAAAAGAATGTGCTACAATAAGCAAACTACTTTGATAACCATTATTCTGGATCATATATACAAGTACTCTGAATCATACTAAGCTTTAATTGTGCTCTTAATGTCTAAGAGACTAGATGGTATCTTGTATGTATTGGTTTAAACATAAATCTAGATCATTTGATTGAAACACATTGAAAATGTCTCAAGTTATCAAGATGGTGGGTGAAATAAGTATTCCACGTAACGTTCAGAACAGCTAATATACATACCTATAGCTGATTTAAGAATTAAAGATACAGACAAATAAATCAAAGCAGTCAAACTTGTCATATATCACAGGAACCAACGAAAAAATAATGAGGAAAAACGGAATGACATTTAGGTAGAAGGAAGCGTATGAGAGGGTAGCTAAAGTAGACAGAATGTCGAATATGATAGAGTCCATACATTCACATCACTGTGACTAAATGTGAGCCATAAAACTAAGAGATTAAGATAATTTATAGCTAAACTCTTACTGATAACAGTCCAAGCCCATAATATTATTATCTATCCCTTGAGCTCCTAGTGGAACATAGGGCTTCGCTAGCACGTCTACATTGCACTCTCTTCTCTGCAGTCATTTCAACCTGGCTACACCAATGCCCACAACCTTTCATTTCTTCATCATACAATCTCCTCATTGTCACCCCCACCACGGACTTCCAACTCGTCGTTTCCCCTTTCGAATTCCACACGATGGCCTGGTCTGATGCGTGATGTCCCCAATCGGTCTCCTCAGTGTAAGCCCAATCCATCTCCATCTCCACTTTCTCCAACTACATATTTGTTGAGCGATGGGTTCTCGGTTGGTTCGTTCCCAGAGTTCCTTGTTGCTTATTCGGATTATTCTGGCCATCTGATCTTCAGTATCAAGTGAGCGTAAGCGGCAGCTGTTGATGAATGTCTATAGTTTGCTGTTGATGCCCCAAGTTTCTGAACCATCACATAGAAGCACTAACGACGTTGGTGTTGAAAATCCGGATATCGTTCACGCTTTATGCTGAGTGCAGTGCAGTAGATCTCCACACTCGTCTCAGACCAGTGAAGGCCTGTCTTGCTTTTCCGATCCTGGATTTGACATCCTCATCTGTGCCTGTTCAGTCTACAGTTGAAACGATGCTGCCTGCCTAGGTATGTGAAAGAGGATACTTCCTTTAGGTTTCTCTCATTCATGGTGATTGGTGCTTGTTGTTGATGTCGTTGTTGATTGGGTATCTTTATCTCCTCTGTCTTCTTCACGTTCATCTGAAGTAGCGTTTTCGCTGTCCTGACTCTTCTGTCAACTTGTTGGTTTTCGCCTGTACATCTTCCAGTTTGTGCGACAAGACATTAAATATAAATCATCATCGGCGAAATCCAAATCTTTTCCCGGGGTCTTTTCATCGGTCCAGCCAGCATATGCTCCTCTTCTCGATCCTCACAGTTTGTTGCATAATCCAGTCCAGTCGACAACAATCGGGACGGTCGTCGGTGATAGTAAGCACCATTGTCATACTCGTCTTCACTTCAAAAGAGTCACTGAGCTTTCTATTTTGAATCACTCGTCAGGTGGCGTCTTTATATAACTGTTGAGTGAGATTGATAAATGTTTGTGGTATTCTGCAGTGTTGAGGCAGCTGCCTGCCAAGTACCTTCTTGGTCGACGCTGTTGAAGGCCTTTTCAAAATCGATGAAGTTGAGGTAGAGTTGAGTTGACTGCCTTTCTATGCTCTGTTCTATGATGATGCGCGGCGTAGTGTTGCGATTTGATTCGCTTATGATTTGTTCTTCTTAAAGACACCATATTCCGATCGTAACTTGGAATGCAGAGCATTGTTTAGCCTCTCCAAGATGATGCGGCATACTATTTTGCTTGGGGTGGACAGCAGCATGATTCCACACCAGTTCTTGTAAAGACTTGAGTCGCATTTTTCGGAGGGTTGACAAGGTACCTCTTCTCCCAATCGCCAGGTACCATTTCTCCCTTCCCAACCTTTTGCAGGTGTGTTGTAAGAATGTCCACTATAGGCTTCGCGTCTGTTTTTAGTACTCTTGCCGGAATTCTATCTGGTCATGCTGCTTTCCCGAATTTCAGCAGCTTCATAGCGTTCAGGACTTCACTTCTGCTTCGGTTGGAGGTCTTGTGTTCACTGATAATTTTGGGGCTGGGCTGCTGGTGGTATTTCTGGGCGAGTTGCAGGTGATGGTCGACTCAAGAGTTTCTTGAAGTGGTCAGCTCATTGTTCCCTTTGTTTCTACTCTTCGCTAACTAGCTTTCCTTCACTATCTTTCATTGGTTTAATCTGTATTGATCTCTTCCCAGATAGTAACCTAGTTGTTCGATATAATGTTGTCAGGTCTCTCCTACTTGCAGCCCGTTCTACCTTACTCGCCAATGTGTCGTAGAAGTGTCTTTTGTCTTTCCGTGCATTCTTCTTCACTTCTTTGTTCAGTGTAGTGTTTCATAGGTTGTATTCAGTTCTACTTTTCGTTATGCATCCTATCACTGGTTCATCTGCTTCACCATCTTCCTCTCCTCTTACGACTTCCATGTGTCCGTCGAGGTCCATTCCTTGTCTTCTTTCTTCCTAACACGGTTATACAGGTTTCTTCCACATAACTTCCAAACTCTTGCTGATAACAGCCGAAGCGCATATAGCAAAAATAAAGTCAGAGACTTCAGGGATTGGTACCATGAAACAGCATGACCATACTTAGATCTCTTTCAAACTATTACTCGTTCGACTACCGTAGCATATTGCTGAGCAACGCATATCCCAACCATTGCTGTTGGTGAACGTTCACTACAAAACCGATAGATTTGCTTCCATCGTATAGCATACCCTGCTTAACTTCGAAATGGCTTACGAGGTGTTTCGATCACATAAGAGCAATACTACGAATAGACCACTGGTAAAAACCTACAAATTGTTCAAATCAAACCAAGCGAACCATGATGCTGTGTCTCATTGCTTGGTGACCATACGATAGAATTCGACCAACATTCAGAACTAGATAACATGACAATATGTCTAAACAAGTCCTACAATAAGTTACTCGTGGGATCAACAGATTCGACTACAACGCTAGATGACAGTCCCATTTTTTGAAGAGGACGTCAGTTTCTCCAACGTTACAACCACGTCCTGCTGATGAGTGCCAACTAGCATGAAACCGAAATACGAAGCATCTTTCGGATTGTCTACAATCATCTAAAAACATTTAAAATTCATAGACCCTACATTCACATGCCATATTTCACATCAGCACAATAAGACAGGATAGATTGTTGTGCAGTATAACCGTACTTCAACAGGAGATGACGTATTTTGGCAAATGCCACACAGACGTTTGGAACCTGAGCTAAGGCCTCGTTAACAACCAACCCATTCGAACTCATGCAACTCCCCACGTAAGAGAAGTGGGGAAAGCATACTACTCGTCTACTCAATATCCTTGATGTAAGAGTAGCTGTAGACCGGAGGTACGTAGAGTTTGTGCAGAGGCACATAAATAACTAAATTAAACGGATACGGTGCTAAGTTACATCCTAGGGTGGGTGTCACTGGTGGCCGTCACTCCTAATGATTAATATAGGTTAGGCTGCGTGTTCAAGACACAAGTCTTGATTGGTAAAATAAACCTGTTAAGCATTAGTTCTACAACCAGATACCTCTTCAACAATTAAAAGCCTAACTTGAAATACGAAGTCCGACATGATGATATTCTGGAGTCTGAAAGCTTTATTGTGATAGGTTCTACCAGAAAGACAATCTCATACAAACCAACAGCAGTTGAAGCTGAAACTTCCATTGAAAAATTGTTTACGTGGTACTTTTGTCCGCGAACGATGTTACTGCCAGCTTTACAGTATTTATGGAAGGTACAACCCACAAAAAAGCATTATTTATTTTCGTCAGTCATACCAAGGTAGAAACAATTTTGTAAAGCTTTTCGGTGTATTTAATGATGATGAGGAAAACATGCAGGGAGAACACCTCATATACGAGAAACTTGGAAGGAATACTGAATTTTTCTCCAAATGATCTAAGTTCTTGAAATAATCAATCAGCACAAACACTCATAGTGAATTACACTGAAAAGTGAATTCGACGCATCAACTTTTTCACCTCGGTTGATATGAGGACTATTTTACTGCCGATTTTCTCAAAAAAAATACGACTTACACCATTAGGTCAGTGGGAAAACTCAAATCTAATTGGATTACGATATTTCCAAACTTTATCTCTATTTCAAATATTTGATTTGTGGATGCATTAAGAAAGACTAACAACATGCATCTGAAGAAAACTTCATTAAATTCCAAAACAACTGTAACATAATTTTGAATTACAAGTCATTAAAAACCCATAAAGCATATACTAACCTTCCGTAAAAGAGAAGACCAGGTGTCCTCGTCAAAACGATCACTGTGACATTCGATTGTATTAAATAGTGTCTGACAGGCAGATTTCCGAATAGCCGGTCGACGATCCAAACACAAATCAGCCAGTTTGTGAAACACACAGATCCACAAATCCTTCAAATCCATAGTTGAACTGCCTGAGTCAGGTAAGCTGAGTGGAATACTTCTCTGTTCCATGAAAAAGTCGGCTAAATGAAGCTGAACAAAATTTAAACAGGAAGGCAACAGTAAATCAATGTGCAGTTGAAAGTCATTCATTTTTTGTAAATGTTGATTCGTCTGTCCGCACTACCCTCAAAAATTCACTCAACAGCCTATCGCTCACAGTTATTTTGTGAGTGAGGAATCCTAATCCATTGAAAACAAATGATGAATTAATTCTATCATTGAGACACTGATTTTGATGATACATGGGCATTCCGATGGAATCAAGACAACGCACTATTCACAAGTCACACACACACATACACATGCAAGCCATACGAACGGATTCTCAATACCAATTGACATAATTACAAAATTTCATTCCAAAACAACTTGCATCAAGCCTTGTGCCAGCTGATGATAGGAATCAGTTAGACCATCTGCCTGTCATATTGTAAGGTTTGATGGAATTATTCGCTTCAGTGCGAAACAAAACAGAGAAGGGCCAAATTAGTATTTCTCTGTGAACATATATTTCCACATCACTAGTCAAAGGTCGATGATATTTGTAAGGTATGCAAACAGAAAGTGATGGTCGTTCAGAGTAGGCTTCTGCATTGATTTGTTTTTCTGCTCATACACCGATCAGTACTTGTCATAAAAGTCAGATTAACTTCCATACAGAGTTCTACAACATCACATACAAAAGTGAAAAACAGTTTCTCATTTCACTTTCGACACCTTTCAAAGAAAACGACATGATATACTGGAACACATTTTCACATGACTGGAAAGTTTGTTTCACTGAACACTGAGTACCCACTGTGTCGCTGACTCCATACTGTCACACTAACTCGTATGCATCAACTGAAGAGATTGATTCATAATATTTGTGTTCGCTATCGCGATCAACTGTTTACTTACAACCCCGACATGTGGATTCAGTGTTTACCTTCAATACATTACAACACTATTGTTGATTAGTCATGAAAGAGATGATAGTGAGTCGTTTACAACAGTTGATACATCTCACACAATGATGATAACAACAGGTGGATGTATTTGTTATGCATGCGATAATCTTTAAAGTCCTATGAAACGACAAATCACTGGATAAAGAGCTGATCAATTTACAACCACCGATTTGGCAACATTCAGTGAAGCGCATTTTGTGGTAGTCGGGAGCGTCATTCCACCTGATATTCAACTTCAATTGGGGTGACCACCATAGAAATCGGGCTGAGGGCATGGAAGAGGCATATCACAACAGCTAGATAGTTGTTGAATTTCTCGAAGTTTCATTTCAGTAAGTTGTGGGAAATGAAGTTGGCTGTTTCATACACAAACCGTCTAGCCCGTTTTTCATGTAGTAATACAACTGTCCGACATTGGTTCGAACGGTCACACCTGCTGTAAGTTTCAATCTAGACTCACTTCCCAAAAACATGTTCACTTGATGATGCTCATGACGAAGGTGTGATGCATGCATGTTTGCGTTATCAGTACGCTATCTACAATCAACGTAAGCGAAGCTTTGCACAGGTGAGTACACAGAGATTCCCTCCAGTTGACCGTTAGCTAGAATGAAAATAGAAGCGGGTATTGCAACACCGCATATAATGGCATTCAGTCGATCAACACACACAATATCCATATGTTCGTAGGAAAAGATGGATATGAATGGCATAGAAAACTAGTAAATTTCATTCAGTTCAAAATTGATAGATTAATAAGTGTTGCGTGTACTACGTTTTCCTCACAACTATCGGCATTATTTTCAAAAATAATCTTAATAATCCCTGGAGGTAGGATGAATAGGGTAAGGAAAATAAGAGGAATCACAATTCCTGTCGATATTTATTATGATTACCTGAGGTCAAATTAAACTGTTTATGAAGGATACATAAGGAGATGAAATTTGTGTATGATTATGCTTGTGGGTGATCTCTTTCTAAGAAATAAATACATGCAAACAATTACTAAAAATATACCAAACACACTATCCTTCTTTGAAACAATATTTGTTTCCTTACCCTCAGCAACGTATGTACTGAAAACGATTTGTAAGTTATTTAGGTTCTCATAACGATGCTCAAGAAAGGAATACATCAAACATGCCCTATTTTCATTGTTGAAATAAACTGTTTCCCATTCTAAACATACCTAACCATCATTATTTATTATAATACGACATGTTGATTGAAATAAAGCTATGGTTATTATCCCTAGTGTAAAAAGCAACGAAAGCAGTCCCGTGAGATTCTGTTCAAGAAAAACGTTCAACGGGTTTCAAACTTGCTGTGACTTACAATCTATATCTAATGTCAACCTTTTATTCAGCACCCAATATTTGCCATACTACACGATCAAATCTTGATCATAGTTTACATAAAATACAATTTATGGCTTATATTTCAAGTACAACGTATTGCTCGAATGCTTTCCAAAGTGATCACACAACTCCTGGTACCAGGTTTCCATAGTTATTTTTTGACTCATCACTATTTGGTTCTCCGATTAAAGAATAGAAATCATTTAATTTTTCTTCAGATAACTCATTCATGTAGTGTCCATGTGTTTAGGTAACTAATCAGACCTTGACCTCGACCGCTTACTTACTACATGATATTACGTATATGAACTTGTTTTGTTGAACTGATCAATAGAATCCATGGGCTAAAAAGTTGGTATCTGAGTTGATTTGCAGCTTAGAATCCAACTCTAATCCGGATCTAAATGAAAATCCTAAGTGGGAATTTTACTATTCACAAGAGAGCATAGAATTCTCTATGAGTTCATGTTACAGTCACTGATCAAATTATAAATGATCCCTTACTGATGAGTTCTTATGGCTTTTTTTTCTAATGAATTTAGGAAAATAGTTATGCTGTAGACTTTCTTTCATACATTTCATTTCTCCATTTGAATTTTCTCATTTACGAAACAGTCAAAAATAGAAATTGACTACTTAAATATTTGGCAGAGACTGTCTTGGTTGATATAATCTAACAAGTATCTAAACCACTATCCATTTCTCAGTATAACCTAGCTAGTTAGTCTTGTTAGTTTTTGAACTCTAAAGTAAATTGGATCCTTCCTATTGCTGAGCTTATATGTCCGAAGAATCTATAAATCTGTTCCAAATTCAGCACATTGAATGAACAGTTTACTCAGTATAGAAATCTCTTATGGTATAACTGAATGACTTTTAAACAATAAAGCAAAATATATCCGTAAATACGTCTATTATGATTGGAAATATTGGTAATTCCATAAGGTTCAGAGTACTAGTTATGGAAGGTGACACAGCCGACTAAGGTGCCTTTGCCTTGTATTAAGCAAGTGGAGCCACCATTTACATTAGCGTGTAACGTTACCTGAAGTAGGTCCAGTTAGGGATAGAGAAGGATAAAACCACGAAAAGACATCAAGAAAGTTTCGGATTGTTAATATGAACTTTGTTAGACAGTTTGGTTGAGATCCTCGACATTTCAGGACTCAATGATTTGAGACACAGATTGATATGGCTGACACCAATCACAAGGCTACATATATAGATAGTTGATCTCTTCTAAATTTCTGAATACTTTATTCACGTTTATTAAATGATACTCTCTTTCCTCGTATAATCTTGCCAAACTCAATGTTATTCCTTTCCTGTTCACTCCCTTTTAGTCTCAATGATGTGAAGTGAAACAGAATAGCTCAAACTGAAATACTTTTAGTAATGCTTTACTTTAACTTCTGTGTCTCATAGTTTAATTGATACCCTTTCTGTTTGCTTGCATACTTTGTCCTTCTTTATCGACTAAACAAGTAGATGGAATAAAAATGATGCTGTACTCGTTTCCGATGTAATAAGAGTAATGTCTCCCCATTAAAACCGAAAAACAACGAGCAACAGAAATATGTAGATCAAGCATTAGAAATTATGATTATCTTGGAAAGAATTTGATTAGTAAACTGTACTTGATATATATCAGCTGTAAATAATAATGCACCGTTAAATGGTACAGCACGCAGAAAAATCTAACATCAAATTACATTAAAATATTGATGAAACTATAAATGATAAGTTGATATTCCTTACGGGCTGAAATAAATTGAAGAACCGTCGAAAACCTGTAGGCACTAAATAGATGTTTCGTCCTAGTATGGGAGTTTTCATCAGTGTGTACCCAAGACTCCACAGGATATCGAACCAAGGACCTCCAAGTTTCCCGGCGAGCTTGTCACCATTGAGACACTTAGTCAAAATCCAATAGTCAACATTTTCTGATTTGTGTCACTTCGCGATGTAGTGCAACCTTCATCCAATGCGATTATTAGGTATTTGTCCCCATGTTCGACTTCGTTTGCCCCAATCATGACTACATTTTGGAAATTCAGGAAATCTCATCTCGAAGCATGTTACTAAAGAGCACTAGGCAGTGATTCGATTTAAAGGTTTGTGAGGATGTAAGTCGAATAATAGCAATCTGATTAGCATGGTCAGCATAGTGTACAGAAAATGTTTTTCGCATATTTCACAAACCCATTTTTCAGAGGACATATCTTAATCGAGGCTTGAAAGTTTCCCATTTTATTCAGGAAACTTTACAGGTCATCCTAGCAACTCCTTTTCTAGACGAAGTAGCATAACCTGATTGGCTATTTCAGAAGTTGCTAGAGTGACCTTTAAAGTAATCCTTTTACTCACGATAGCCTTTGTTTAAAACGAAGATGAATGAAAACATGGAAACTCTGGTGGAATGAAAACGTTCGAAAAAGTAAAAACATTAGCACACAAGACAGTTGCATACAAAAAAAACACTTACAAGCGATCCTATAGCCGCTAAAGCGATATTCAAATCTTGTTTTTGATGACCAAATCGTGATGCAGTCTCTACACAGGCAAGATAACAATCAGGCAGTAAAGCCGACAGATAATCCGTAACAATTAATTTGAAGCACTTGAATGATGTCTGAATTAAGTCGATTCTGTTTTTCAGAAAACAAAAACACACACACAGAAACAAAAGAAAATCAGCCACCCAGTTTAAGCCTACCAAAAGAAATATTATCACAAATAACTAAATAATGTTGATATCCATTCATTAAATAGAAGCTAATTTACAGGTTTCCCAAAGAACAGCTATTTGAGTTTTAAATGTGATGATGAGAACTCTAAGACAACAATGATACTCGAAGATAAGTGAGAAATTAATTCATGTATCTTAAAAAATAATCAACCCAAGTGGTTGAATATGTGGAAATATTTCTCCCTGGTCAGTTGTTCGCCGATGATGAAAACTGTTTACAGTTGTATACAGTGTCCAAAGTATGTATACCGGTAGAGTAGTGTATAATAATAATAATAATAATAATAATAATAATAATAATAACGTATGAGAATTTGTAAGTACAAAGGAGGTTCGTTACTACTCATTTTGAAATGATAAAAGAAGTAATGAAGTCAATATGCGATACATGAAAAACAATGCATATGATTAAATGTTTAACTGTAATGAGGGCATTTCATACAAACTCGTTACTTAAGGCAGTAATAGGTCAGGCGAGATTTGAACTTGAGATGCTTATTTTGAAAGTAGCAAGTAGTTTAAATTGTAGCTTGAAACGAATCAGAATCTGCTGATGATCCATGTACACGTAACAATAAGAACTAGACTGTCAGCTATATGTTGAGATTATTATTTGTTGATGCTTGTGATCCTCCGTTGTAACAATAATAATAATAATAACTAGTGCCTGTTGTCCAAGAGGTGCGGTTGGCACCTCAGTAGATAACACTTTGGCGTTTGAAGCGATAGGTACGAGGTCCGAGTTCCAGTAGGATCAACATCACTCACTGGGGTGTAGGTATATTCAGGTGATGAGTCCCAAATAAGACGAAACCCGCATCCTCGATCCCATTGCTAGCTTTAACCAAGTCAATCATATATTTTGAAAGTCGTAATACTAAACAATTAGATGGTGGAATGACGGATACCTTTACCAGTTATTATTTTGGATGAAAATATTTATTCTGAAATGTTATAATTATGCTGACTTAGATTGAATGATATGACTTTGTTCGGTGAGATTTCTATTGAGAAGCACCAAAAAATAGATTGAGCAAAATGAAATAAACAAGATAAAATAACCTTTAGGATAGACATCAAAAGAACAAGATAGAAAAGTATGCTTATCACGTAAATGACTAAGAATATTTTGTTAACCTGAAAGAGTATAACTACAATTATCTATCATTCATTATTAATGAAACTAATCAAATAAAGCAGAAACGTGCTGAATGTGCAAGTGTGTTGCCTTTTTCTAGAGGTCAATGAATACACAAAAGAGAGAAATCTACAGCGAAAAAGTAATTAAATTGAAAAAAGAAGAGAAAGGAGAAGAAATGAACAATATTGTACCACAAAGTATTTACAGCTAGAACAATAATAAAAATAGAACATTATCAAAATGAACTCACTTATAACTTTCACGTATAACACCAATAATTTCAATTAATCTAAGCCAACTGCATTGAACTTGTTCACCCCAACAGTGTAGTAATTGTTGAACGCATTCCAACTGTTCTTCACGAACATCATCGTATACAATATCATTGGATAAAGCACTCAATGGATTCAATACTTTTGTAGTTAATGCCTAACAATATTTATAGGGATGAAAAAGGAAAAAAACCGACAAAAAAAGTTATGAATAGTAAAATGGTAGAGGAAAACATTCATTCAGTCTGACGAGAATTAGTTTGGTTATCACGAAAAATTAAAAGAAATTTTCATGATAGTTTTCCTTTTACAAGTTGCTATTCATCGTAGACTGACATCAGTTGGAGGAACAAAGGAAACCTGGGAGCACTGGATAGCTATTTCGTCCTAGCACGGGACTCCTCAGCAGTGCGCACCCACGAGCATGCCAAGGATCGAACCCGTGACCTTCAGTTTCCAAATCCCGTTAGCCCACGAAGTTGGAAATATGGATCATTGGATTCTGACCCAGTGGCCCAATGGCAAAGCACTGGCTGCGGAACCTGAAGGTCACGGGTTCGATGCCTGGCGGGGTCGTGGGTGCGCACGGCTGAGGAGTTTCATATTGGGACGAAACAGATGCCCAGTGCTTCCAGGTTTTCTTTGTTCCTCAAACTGATGCCAGTCTACGATGAATAACAACTTGGAATATTTCCAAATCCTCACAACTACCTCAAAATTCAGTTTTCCTTTCCTTTTTTTCGACAACTACATTATTTTTTTTAAAATCATTTAAAAACATTTTTAACTTATTTTACGATCCATTAGCACCACAAACACTTTTCATAAAAATAAAGCAAACCGATAGTGATAAACAGTTAATTATATTAAAGTGCAAATCATATCAGTTGTGGAACAACTAACCATACTAGTTAGCTACCAAGGTTATAAAGAAGAGTTCAAAATGTAGTTCAATGACTACGAACTGAGTCCGTTAAGCTGTCAGATAAAGGTCTATCAAACCACATGCCAATAAATATACTAACTGAACAAAATGCATTATCGCCCTTTCGCTGAGTTGTTTCTAAAAAGAATCTCGAAAGCTAGGTGGTTTAACATATACTTACATTTATCATCAGCTTTCTACGAGCTGACAATGCCATACATAATAAAAGAGTTAGTTGCCTATCAAATTTAATAAGCGCTGATAGTATCTTTTTATGATAATTTACTTGGTAGACGCTGGCAGAGGAAGCCAGGATGCGGGTTTCATCTTACTTGGGACTCGTCGGCTAAATGTACTTGCAACCCAGTGAGTGATGTTGTTCCCACTGAGATTCAAACCCCGAACCCATCGTTTCAAACGCCAAAGCGTTATCCACTAGGCCACTGAGGCACAATGGACAGACACATCTTGTACAACGGACAACTCTATTCAGTAAGACAATGAAGAATTACAAGCATATCAACTAATGGTAGTAACTTTTTATAAACATTATTAAATGAATTAGGATTAGTTTGGAAAAAAGTATAGATGATCAGATTAGAACAGGTCAACAAATCCTGTTATCGATGTTGGTTACTCGGAGTTACATAATAGAATGTAGGGGAAATCTACAGAACAGCCTGAGTAGTTTCTAACCACTCAACTTGCTCAGTAGTAGTACATTTCGCTAGTCCATGACACTTTTACATCAGAGATCACACACAGTAATCTTGGCAGCGGTGTGGTTTAGACCGGAAATCCTGTTGACACAAAAGTTGAGCAGTCTAAAAATTACTCAGCTGTGAAAGTTTTCAGGGTGTAGAGCGTGCGATTCGCGTTCGCGCTCCTGAGTTCGACCCCTAGCCAGGTCGTGGGTGCGTATTGCTAAGGAGTCCCCATACTAGGACGAAACAGCTGTCCAGTGCTCCCAGATTTCCAATAGTTCTCCAAATGATGTCAGTCCATGATGAATACTACTTCTAAATTAAAAATCCCCATTCATCTCAAAAAATATATAATATAGTAATAACTAACTAGTTAGACAACATCTATATGAATAACAACAATGATATGGACGAAAATAAGCAGAATATCTCAAGAGATGGCAAACGAAAATAAAATGAAGAAAGTGTTCTCATTGCACAAGCTAATTTTTCCAACCGCTTGACAACAACAACGATAAAGAGAATACACCAATATTGTAAGGCTTCGGATTTACATAAAACACATTTTCACGGTAATTCGCTGATTGGTTGATGCCTGTTTTTCCTATGTTAATGATTCGAATTGTGGACAGTCATATATATATATATATATATATATATATATATATATACGTTTGTTGATAAATTGACTATTCTTCTTAGAGGTGATGAAATCTTACATCCATTCTCAATTACTTCGGCAGTTGGGGTCACTGGATCTAAAGTTTGAAGTTAGTTCTCGGTTAAGCGTGTGTGTCATATCCTCTCGGGAACAACAACTAACCAAGATCAATCGTTTTAAGCTGATGCACAACTCTGCGATTACATTAAAATAATATGATGTTAAATATGTACATCTCGAATTGTGCATACTGATCCACTTCATGAAGTAGACTTGAAGATGACACCAAGATTGATAATTGTAAAATCCTTTTAACCACCTTTTATAATCTAGTTATCACTTGTTATATTCTTGTAGTAACTGCTTGATATAACCTCAGTTATATATATGTACGGACGCTTAGACAATCACCTTCAGAATCCACTACTTCACGGTCGACCAGCTTGTCGATAAATGGGAAGGGCGGTAAGATAACAGAAAGTGTATTGCAACGTCAAAATATGTACAGTGTACAAGGAATTATATATATATATATATATATATATATATATATATATATATATATATATATATATATATTCACAATGGCCTTGGCTATTTCCAGGCCTTTCTGGACTTGAATGTCCTATTGATTTTCATTTCTTTTAACCAATCTGATATTTACACATCGGTTCATGTGCTTTCTCTCGAAACGTCGAGGCTAAACGATTGGTTGGAAAAAGCTCTTTATGGAGATCACACTATAACACACTAACAACTGAAATATGCCCATCAGCAACACATTTGAAGACTCCTCCATTTGTAGATTTTTCATGGTCGACCTTGGTGCGTTTCTAAAACCCTTCAGTCATCTGCCATTTTTCAAAGTTCTCCTTTTTATCCTGCATGGAACTTGTCGATATATCCTCTGAAGTATGCATTGACTTGTTTTAGCAAGCATTACTGTCATATGCTTTTGATTCTGGTTGCAAGAAAGCCTCAGTGTTGAAACTGACGGTACGACGTCTTGCATTCATTTTGAGCCACAGCAATCTAGGAGTCGCTGGTCTGAAGGATAGTTTGCTCTGCTATGAGATACATTACCGAAGTTAACATCTCAGCATACTAGCCAGATAATGTCCTTCTGACCACTTGATGCACTGTGAGTGATATGTGAATTCGGGTGGATTAGGGGCTTTTCAGTTACTTGCTGGCTCATGAATGTGATGTCTGTAGCTGAGCTTGCTCGCAAACGGTTCTGGTGTCCATTTGCTCGTATGGTCACAAATTGTCTTTGATATAGTAATCTACTACAATGCAAAGCGACTAGCTCATTTGATGGGTGTGCAGAGGCTTTGAAACCCTTTAAGTATTTATGTAATTGTTGACATTGAAGCTTGGGTTTACACTGGTACTAATTGAGGGTTTTTTCTAAACATTTTTAAAATGGCTAGATCGCACCAAACACGTTGCATCATGTTGCAAACCATTGACAAGTACTTCATGGTTTTCATCAACACGATCGGATTTAATATCTAGATCCATGATAAAAGTTCTGTTAATATGAAAACTTGGAGAGAAAAAAACTTCAGTCAGAGCAGAGAATGAAATAACTCTGTATCCTATGACGTACATTTATTAGTTGTAGAATGCATTTTTGTACTCATATGTTAGATAGAACACAATAAACTATCGTTCAAAAAGATTTGATCAGCTCTCTTTTACATTAGTCTTGAAGACAATACGATTTTGGTTGAATTATAAATTTATTTACAAGTCAATATGAATGAGTGAACTCAATTATTTTATAAATTCCGTGTCTCATCCTATCTAACAAAGTCAATAGTCTGACTTCTAAGAAAAATATTTTTCTAAAACTTTTTTCACCAAATCAAGTTTTCGTTTCGAATATTAAAATAAGACAGCCTAATTGATCAGGAAAAATTGATAGTGGACATATTGTATACACGATATGCAGGAAGACGAACGTTTAACCACTCTGAAATTCAAGAACGTTTCCACTTACAATTTCTAACGACTGTGGGTACATTTCTTCAGATTATTATTGTGCTAACCATACTCACCTAAATCCTTTATTACACATGGAAGCAAAACTACCAATCAATAATACTGAAGATGAATGAAAGTAATTTTTATGAGGACACTCACTTCATTCTGCCAGAAAGGAGGATTCTGTGGAGCAGCAATAGCTTGCCTAATTAGACTGGTTAAACAACTTGAAGCCAGTTGACGAAGATTGATGTGGGATGAGTTACACACCTGAAAATAAAAAAATCATAATTAAAGAAAATAACTAGAGATTTTACGACATGTATATCACTTTTTCTTCACAAGCATAAGCAATCGCAATAAGTAAAAGACAAGTTTGCTAAATGACGTATTTTTAGGTTAGAATTCATCATGAACTAACATTAGTTGGAAGAACATGGGAGCACCGGAAGGCTGTTTCGTCCTAGTATGGGACTTCTCAACACTGCGTACCCATGACCCCGCCCCACTGGGGATCGAACCTAGTACCTTTGGGTTCCGTGTCCAGCATGTTACCGCTGGGTAGGAGGAGGCAATGAGATAAAGTAACCTTTCTAAGTCCTAGAAAGGCGCTTTTCTTTTGAAAATCAAATATATGCCATTTCGATAGAAATGCGTAAACATAAAATTACCTAACGGACGACAATCCGTAAGTATCATTGTCTTCTTGAAAAAAGATGCAATATCATGAGAAGTAGACATCGGTAACAAGAAAAGAATATTGCGTTAAACAACTCAATGCGTTTCTCATATTCACAAACCTATAAACCACTGAATAGATACTAATATCCTGTAAGTCGAATCCTATCGATCAAACCTGTGATGTGGATAGGGATTCCAAGATCGGTCAATGAAATGTACTTATTCTCATTAGCATCAGAAAGTTACAAGCGATCAATCGAGAAAGAAAATTTGATAAGGTCTATGGATGGGTAACATTACGTTGGTTACCATTTCAAAGTCGAAAAGCATACAGTAACTACGTACACATTCGTGCAGCAGTCAACAGGGTCACACATTGTGTGGAGTCAATGAAACTACCTGGCTGCCGAAATGGCGGTAGATGGTTAATAGTCGAGAGTCTAGACCATCATTCAAAGACTTATACACTTTGCGTTTTATTTCATCCACTTAAATCATTTTTGAAGGATATCCAATAGTATCATAGTAAACTACGTAAAAAGCTACACGAAGTAAGAAACGTAGTGACTTTACGAAAAAAAAACACCGATTGCTCAAGTTTCTATGTTGATCATTCTTTTTCGGTTAAGTCTAGTTTTATTTCTTGTCTAAGTTGTACAAATTTTGAGCCTGTAAATCAAACACAATCCTTTTTCTCTAGAAAAAAAGAGTGATAAAGCACGTTTTTTCTCACATCAAAAAAATCATAATTAACAGGATTTCATTCTATGTTCTACACAATTAGCTTTGCAGAGATATGAAGTCAACCAGTCAGTCACCTAATGCCTTGGTTTACGCACCAATAACATAATTTATAAAAATTTTATTATCCGAAAACAGGTGGACACAGCTAACAGAATTTTCTTTTTCAAAACAAACTCACAGGCATATAAAACTCAAAAGGCTATGTAATTCATACTACATTCTTTCAAAACAGTTAGTCCCTTTTATGAATTTCGATAGCGTAGTTGGAAGACGAAGTTTTTCTGAGCATTATGATGTATTTGCGCAATACATTTCGAACAATCTGATCACACATTTACTTGTCAAGTCAATATATATTAAAGCGAGGACTGGGAGGGGGATAAATACAACAATTAACACAATAAGGGATTAAAATTAAGAAAGATGAGGACAAACAGGAAGTGACATAGTTGGTCCTAATCTTGGTAAGAAAACAAAGTTTACCAAGGTAGGTGTAGTGTAATAACAAACTGTTTTTGTACACATTTGTGTATGGCTATGGCTTCCGCAAATCTCAGAATACGTCCCTGACTGTTTCTATATAAGACTTTGAAAGCTGTTTGAACATTAACTTTGTGACCTGTTTCTACGATATGTTTAGCTATAGATGAAGAGGGTCGTTTCCCAGACAATTTTACAAAATGTTGCGATCCTCTAAACTGCAACCCAACCTTTCAAATCTTGTTCGGTTTATGAAATCACACATAGATAATTGCAATGAGAAGTTACGCAGCTTAACTGAAATGCATACTCATGCTTCATGTGTATTGTCGGATATTTCTCTTATATGCCACATTAAATTCATCAATTTTTGTAGCTCCGTAATCAGTAAAACGAAGGATAGAACAAGGCGAAAATTGTCTAGATCCCTTTCCAATGACATTCATGCAAACTCATTTCCATGTGTCCCAGATAAATATGTGACTAATTTGTCCTCTGTTGTACCTTCAATTCATGAGAAAGAGGCGCTTTCCCTTGGATTCAACTTTTCAGTTCCATACACGCAAATCTCTTAATTGGATATTGATGCTCAGTTTGAAAATCTCTATGACCAATTGAGCCCTCTTGTCCCTACATCTTCAGATAACCAAAGTTGGTTAAAGGCTAAATTAGTTGATATTGCTCACCAATTCCATAGTTCAGAAACAAGACAAAGAAGCATTTTGAGTTCACAGCACTTCAAATCTTTGAGAGAATTACGGAACAGATCGGATATAATCATTCTTAAACCCGATAAGGGATCAGGTATCGTTGTGATGAATAAATCTGACTATAAAAATAAAATGCTATCCATCCTCAGCGACGAAAGCAAATTCATAGCCGATGTCCCATCAGAAGATATTAGAAAATTGGAAGCAAAAGTAACCACTCACTTAGTAAAACTTTTGAATATGAATGCCATTAGCAAAGAGGAATTTAATTCATTGAAACCTATGGGATCCGAATTTCCAAATTTATATGGATTACCTAAGATTCATAAAGCTAATAATCCCTTACGCCCTATATTGTCTGTGTCGTTCTCCCACACATAAACTGGCGAAATGGTTGGTAAAAATGTTAAATCCAGTTCGAAACGAATTCTGTAAGTTTTCATTGAAAGATTCTTTTCAAATTGTTGACTGGTAACATGAATATAAAAAACAAGATTATGTACTCTTTCGATGTAAATTCCTTATTCACTAACGTGCCATTGTCCAAGACTATTAGCATTCTCTGTGACTATATATCCTCAAAAAACCTCCCATTTCCTATTACTCCAACCTTTCTGAAGGAGTTATTATTGCTGTGTACCGAAAAAGTCCACTTCACATTTGAAGGTGAACGCTTTCGACAAGTTGACGGTGTAGCTATGGGTAGTCCTTTAGGACCACTACTGGCTGATATTTATATGTCATATATTGAAAATCTGGCTGGTGATCTCATCGCTAAAGTTCCTCTTTACAAGAGATATGTTGATGACATCATAGTGATTTGTGAGACGCATGAGGATATGGTTTGTCTACTAAATAGACTTAACGCCGTACAAACACACATCAGCCTGACATGTGAGAAAGAGAATAGTAATCAACTGCCATTCCTAGATATACTTCTCAGTCGACGAGAAGATGGTTCAATAAGACGGTCAGTTTACAGAAAGCCTACATGGACAGGACAATACCTGAATTTCCACAGTTTTTGTCCAATCCAATACAAGCGAGGTTTAGTAAAATGCCTGTTTAACAGGATCTATCGTATCAGTACACTAGATGCGATGGATGAAGACATTAAATTACTGAGCAAAGCACTTATGGAAAATGGATATCCGACGAAGTTTATAAACCGTTGTAGAGGTCAAGTAGCACCAAAGCCAACTCTATACACGGTCCTTAAGAAAAATGTCCATATCACTCTACCATACAGAGGGGAAATGAATAGTATCATTTTGAGACGTAGGCTGACATCAGCCATTAAGAAAACGTATTACGCAGCGAATCTTACCATTGTGGAGAAAACAAAACACATGCTTCACCAAAAACCTAAACACTGCATCAGTGATTACGTCACATCCCATTGTGTTTACCAATTTACATGTGTGTGTGGTCACACATACATAGGGAGGAGTAATCGAGTTATGCAGTTGAGGGTGGGGGAACATGTGCCTAAATGGCTTCAAAAACAAATGGAGTGTGAAACAGTGATAAACGCTGGTGGGAGACGACCCTCTTCATCTATAGCTAAACATATCGTAGAAACAGGTCACAAAGTTAATGTTCAAACAGCTTTCAAAGTCTTATATAGAAACAGTCAGGGACGTATTCTGAGATTTGCGGAAGCCATAGCCATACACAAATGTGTACAAAAACAGTTTGTTATTACACTACACCTACCTTGGTAAACTTTGTTTTCTTACCAAGATTAGGACCAACTATGTCACTTCCTGTTTGTCCTCATCTTTTCTAATTTTAATCCCTTATTGTGTTAATTGTTGTATTTATCCCCCCTCCCAGTCCTCGCTTTAATATATATTGACTTGACAAGTAAATGTGTGATCAGATTGTTCGAAATGTATTGCGCAAATACATCATAATGCTCAGAAAAACTTCGTCTTCCAATTACGCTATCGATATTCTTTTAAATTAAAAATCAGTATCATGATCAGCTTATTCTTTGGAAAATGTGAGATATAAGCCTAGTTACAATTCGTATGGTGATATCATCATGCGTAAATGAATTTCTTGACATAAAACATTCCCATTTATTTCTCTAATTTAATTTACTGACAACTGCACCCAATCATTTCATGTTTGTTTCTTAAGAGCGTGCTATGATTTAGGACTATGAAAAAAGCTTTATCAGCGTTCTAGTCGAGTAATATGGTAAATAAAGCGTTATACTGGTCAGATAGACTGAGAAACTAGAAGAGCATCACCTGAAACAAAAATATATTCATTTCAAGGGATAGCATAGAAAGGAAATCCAAAGGTAATAGACAGAAAAAGTTACCGAAGATAACAGGAACACACACACACACAAAGCACTAAGAGTGACAACCAAGAATTGGATCTACCGCCTATAAATTTTGTAATCGTGAAATGAAAACTGTTTTGAACAGCACATTATTATGATTTTTCGGATAACTTTAGTGATTACGGTACTATCGGCATCGGTGACCGATTATAAGCTACGGAGATATATTTTCTAATCATTTATCTCATTGGACGGAGATTCTTTGAGACTATGTAATGAACCTTGGAAGTGCTAATCTAGTAGGCTTACGATTAGAAAGCAAGTAATCATTTACGCGAGCCAAGAACTATCGACTTTTC